TCGAATTGGGTCCTCCCCATTCGTACACTGCGCCGTTTCCTAAAGTCATGCGCAACATACACAACACAAGCAGCCTTGACCGGTCACTAAAATGTCTCACATGGCGCGTTTTAAATGCCGTTTTGCGCTTTGGATGGAGGCGCCCTCACGCACTGGTTGTAAGGGGACCTACTCGCGACAGCGAGAGAATGGCATGCGCCTAATGCGCAGCTCTCGAGTGGCAGATCTGCACGAGCGAAGAACTCAGCCAAAAGAGGATAGTTTGATTCCCCGCCAGAAGCCATCACCTGCAACGCATGCAACGAGCAAAGGTGCACTGCAGTCGACAAGACACGAATAATGGAACGTTTACAACGTTCCCAGCAGACCCCAGCTTCCCTGCCGCTGAGAGTCCCTTACTAATCGAGACTCGCTAACGGAATTGGCAAGCATAGATCGCCTGCTGCGACATACCGCCTTATCTCTGCTCAGCTGCAGGCAATTGTTTCGTCCCCACAGCCAGAGGGCACCCTCAGGCGTTAACAAGCCGCAGTGGTAAGTCCCGCACATCACCTTGGGGAGTTGCAAAGGATCATTCATGGAAAAGCGGGGGGGTTGCAAACCCGCTGTAGCTTCGCTACAGTTCATCTTCTCTGAGGCGTCCTGAGCGACCTCAAAAGGTCTCAAAGGGAAGTGGGACCGGTCCACTCCCATCTCTTCCATGTTTTTTCTGAGTGTTTCAAGCTGCTGCAACTGCTCTTCCTCGATGCGGCGTTTGACATCGAGGGGACTCGGGGAAAGTATGCCATGGAAGAACTCCAGTTCCCGAAAAACCTGGCTACTGACGAGCATCCCCGAACCATTTATCCCAAAATCTGCTGCACCAGAGCTGAACACTCTCCCGGTGCCTAAAAAAACAAAATCAAAGCAGATATTTACAAGGACACAGTTGAGGAGTAGACAGCTAAATGCCTCCAGAGACCCCTCTGGATCAAGCGCTCGAAATATTTTTCTAGGGGGTTGGCAAATTCAAAAGAGCCCACAGGAAAGGAAGAATCGCGAAATCCTCCCAGAAGGAAAACGGAAACACCTACTTGTAACTACACACGTGCTGGCTGTCCCACACGCCACGTCCACAACGAACTCTCCAGAATTGATGAACTGAGTACAGGAAGCAACAGGCGGAAGCGCAGTACCTAGGGACGCTTCTTACGGGCCCGTAAGGCGCATCATGCTGTATTTTACAGCGCTATATGTAGCGAGAGGCAGGATAGTAATCAACAAATGTAAAAATAACTCACCTGGACTACAGGTGTTGGCCTACATCGCTGTTTGCTGTCTCCATGACCCAACGGGCTTCCCGCTCCCCACGAGCCCCCCTTTCCCCAAGTATACAAGACACCGTGTGAAGTCAATGCAGCAAAGTGGTGCTTCCCAGCAGCCACCTTCACAAATCTGGGATGCGTGTCGGTCCCTGCTTCCATATGCGGGCGTGGAGCTAGTTCAACTCCCAACGCCAGACAGATACCGAGGTCCTCACTTCGCCGGCAGTGCTGAATGAAGTCATTCATCGAAACACCCGAAAGTTCCACAGGCTCAGGCGTAATCTCACGCAGAATCAACTTNGAATGAAGTCATTCATCGAAACACCCGAAAGTTCCACAGGCTCAGGCGTAATCTCACGCAGAATCAACTTCGCTGAAGAACTCCGTTCAGGGTCGGGCAAGCTTAAGGGTGCCCCAAACAGTTTACCCTCAGAAAGGGCCAACATCTCCGTACCCCCAACAGCCAAACTCTCTCCTCTTGAGTTGCCTGGAAGCAGCACCTCGACCAGTGGCTCTACTCTGTCTCGGTGCCCCAAACCCAACAAGTTACGCCAGAAAGTGGGTATCTCCGGGAGTCTTGCCAGCCACACCCGACGTATGGCCGTAGTCGTCGTAGACAAGTGGCGATGGAAAGAATTTCGCATATCAAAAGTATCGTAGAGTTCGCTGGCGAGCAGTGTTCTCACTGCATAAGGGGTTCCTGATGAACTGCTCTTTGTTCCTGTGCACGAGTAGAGGCCTCGGGAGAGAGCTTTACAAGGTTCTCCTCCTAGGTGCGGCGGGACCCGAGGACGCTGCCACTCAGAGGCACCACTGGCCACCGTGAAGACGGAACGATAACTGAGCACCCCCCATGACGGGGGCAGTGAGCTTCGTATATTGATCAAATCAAAGGACCTGATAGCCCGATGGGGGCAGGGACCAAGTGATCGCCCGGCAACGCCCGAGGCCCTGAAGGGGAGCGGTAGCCGCCTCATTGCAGGCCAAATCGCAAGACGAGTGACCACAAATTTACCATATGCTTTTGCACGCCCCCCCCGCCCCCCTCACGGCCTCGAGGAGAAACGGAAGTGTCTGCTGGTGAAACCTTCCCGGGGCAATGCCCACTGACCGCCATCAGTCTCCACCTCCCCTTTGCCAGCTCTTCAGCGCGTCATCATACCGGCTGTGCTGATACAAGTAAGCGATAATGCTTTTCCTTAGAGAAGTGGGGTTGAGCATCAGCAGAGGATATCCCAGGCAGATGGATACTCATAGGAGAGACAACGCAGTCTGTGTGGGAACTGGTCAGCTCCTAGTAAAGAAACTATAGCAAATTATACTCTAGAGCGCAGCATAGGGAGGACATGCGCAGAAACTCGCACTCCATCATGCGTTCCCTCGCACGAGTAACAAGGGGGTGTATGATAGATCCCAGAGATTGGAGGAGGTCTCCAGTGTGTAGTTGCCTGAAGTCCTTCTTTCCTAAAGGAAGAAGGAAAACAAAAAGAAATCCTCTACAAGACGGTATCCGATAAACTGGGAGCTCCCGTCCGCAGAAGCAGCAGCCGGGGCCCCGCGGCTAGACCCAGATCTGTGGCCTTCATTAATTTGTTGCCTGAGTCTTCTTTTCAGAATTGTTTGGATACATTTGGCAGATAACATAGTTATTGGTGGAGATGTTAAGTGGGCTGGAAGCTTTGCTTCAAGAACCGAAGCGCTTGGTTCTCTGTCTCGGCGGTCGAGCCCTTCTCGTTGAGTCTATTGACTGGCGTTGAGCGTTAACATGCGGGCGGCTTCCTCTTCTCTCTTCCCTTCTCCCAATACCAAACAGTCACCTGCTCCTCTCGCGCTTCCTATCGAACAGTTTCGCCTCCTCCGCTCCCTCCGGGACGGCATTTCTTGCATCTGTAGACCATCGGACCACCACTGAAGCTGCAGGGCCGCACAGCTAATAGGCACGTGGGAGAGGTTAATCCGTTCGTCTTTACCTCCAGACAGGGTCTCCTGCGTCCCTTTATGAAGCAGGGCGTGGCTTTCGTTGACGTGAAGGTGTAACGGACCCAACCGGAAGGGCTCCCGATCCCCACAATTCATGCTGTTTTATATGCTGCCCTGTGGATCCAAGGTCAGTCGGAGCAGCGCCAGAGAACTAACAAGGGGTGGAAGTAGCGCAGGGCGACTCCTGGCGACTGCACCGGATTCCGTGTCGCTTTCTTTGGGTGTTTACTGCGAGGGGCCCTGATCAACAATCCAGTCCAGGTGTATTTCGTTGTACATCTGGACCCAAGTCTTCCGGCTGCTCACGCGTTTCTGTGGGAGTTAGAGGGGTTACTGCAGAGGCTGTATCTCTTCTGCTGCGGCCATTCTGAGCTGAGTGTTAGAAGTGCTTGTGTGTCGACGTCGCACACACAGGAAGAGTTGACAGAGGGGCACGGAAGTGCCCACTGGCAGAAGATGCAGGTGGAGGAGGACATGTCAGGAGAAGGGGGAGAGTTGGCACGCGGGAGATTCCACGATGGCCCGTGCACAGATTCCCATTGGAATGAGGCCAGCGATATCAGGTCACGGATAGAAGGCACGTCATAACTTGCGTCGTGGCGCATAGCACAAGGATTGATACAGACACGGACATTTCCGTGGTGTGCTCGAGGATTCACTGGATTTATGAGTGCTGCGGTTGTGTGTGCGCAGCGTGCCCGGTGCACATGAGCAGTGTGACGGCCTTCGCATCAGCCCTCGCAGCAAATATTTGCGTTGCTGTTGATGGATCAGCGGCTTTCTGCTTCGTGAGAGACGTTGAGACGGAACAGCTGATAGGGGCATATGCAACTCGTCCCCCCATTTTATCCGTTCAGCAGACCTGCCCGACAGCGAAGGGAGACGGTAATCATGGCGAATGCGTGCATGCTCTCTCCCAACCCAGCAGGGCCTTGAGCAAGCAGAAAACAGTGAAGTCTATTCACCCGAAGAGGGCTTTGAGCTTGCAGAGCTGTTTCAATTCCCTCACGGTAGAGGCCGGTAGGCGTGCTTGTAGCTTCTTCCTGTCCGTAGTGTACATAAGGCAACTGCTAATAGTAGGAACATAACTGTAGGTTATATAATCGGGCTTCTCGTTTTGCCAGAAGCGCACCTGAACAGTTAGCAAAAACTGAGAGTAGGCATCGCCGGCACCAATGCCCATGTACCTTTTCTAAGGAGAAATTATATCTGGTTATTTGTGTTTGGGCAAAAATGCATGCGGATTCCCTGAACTTCTGTGTGTTTTGTTGCTGCTGACCAGAGACGAGTCATGCGTGCAGTGGCGGCCCACCATGTGGGGAGCCTTTGCTGGGGAATGCGAGCGAAGAAGCTGCAACCCTTCTCTCTGCTCTGTTTGCTGAAGACGCCAGAGCCAGTAACTCGTGTTCGCTGCGCCCAGCACAACCACAGGCGGAGGGTGAAGAAGCTTCACGAGCATCATCGCAAAGTGTGTCGAATGTTAAATCGTTCCGACAGTCGTGCTGTGAGGAGACTGCCACCAGGCCCTCAAATATGAGTGGGTGTCAGCCTCAAGAAGGAAGCAGTCCAGACGACCCGACGACCGCGAAGCCAAGCGCTGGGAGTGTGCAGGCGCTGCCGCCTTTGGCTGTTCCAGAGCTGATTGCGGTGTCGTCTGATAGTTTAGTGGGGTCCCTGATGAATAACCTGAAGGATGGCACTGGAGTGAGCAGGATCTCCATGCACTTTAGGACTGTATTCCTTTTCCCTTCCTGCCCCTTTTCGGATGCTGTGAAGCTGTATGTAAAAGAAGTAGTAGGAATCTTGTGTGAATCCTGCGCTCCGTCGATCCATCCCTCACAAACGGATCGCTGCGTTGTACGGATGGTTAGCAGAGGGACTTTAGTCTGCTCTGTGCGCATAACGTTTGTGCAGACATATTGCTATGAGCCAACAACAGGGAGATTGTCGCCAGCGAAGGCGTCGCCGCAGACCAGCCAGTGTGGGGGATCCCGGTGAGGCGCACGAGCACGGAGCCATACCTTTAATAGGCAATCATGAGCTGTTCAGTGCCACCTCTCTGCAGGATTTCTATCGTTTAGAGACTTGCTGTTAATTGTCCTGCTGCCTCTTCAAAGGGAAGGTTATTTAACAGTTGGATTTTGGCGCCGTGCATCTGCAGAGATTCGTTCCCCTCTGGGACGGCTAAGGGCCTCATCATTGCTTGCCGCATGGAAGACGAAGGAGCACGAAGTGCATGCGCAGCCATGGCAGAAGCCCGTGTAGCTTACGTGGGTCCAGGTCCAGACGCCAGGAGATTGCCTTCACATCTTACTGGAGTTCCTACCGCTGCATCGCATCAAGGTGCTCAACCAGATGGTGCAGCTCTTGGAAATCGGCTAGCATCTGTAGAATCGGTCAACACGGGGGACGTTTTGAAGAGTTCGATGTTGCCCCACACAGCTGGACGGGCACACCAGGCTAATCCTTCTCGAACATCCAAGGGTCTGCATGGTACTATTCCTTTGCTTTTTTCGGCGACAATTGAACAGCCAACTGCTGCGGTGCACGATGGCGCGACTTTCCGGTTCCCGGAAGTTCCGGCTAGTGGCCGAGTTTCAGGGATTCCAGGAGAGACGCACTTTGCAATCCCTTCCCCGCGTAGAACCGTTTGCACTGATAATGTAAGATATATTGATACCTGGAACTTGGCGCTAAGGGTTTCAAGCTGCATAGGGCTCGCGTTGTATTGGCGGGTTTGTGGCCGTGCAATAGGCTTCTTTCCGAATGAGTCATTTCTGTTTTCTAGTTCTCTTACGTGGTTCTGTGATATTAGGGAAGCATGAATTGTGGGCGTTGTGCCTTGTGCAGCCGCCGCTGACAGCGCAGCCAGGCCTGGGCGTGTCTGTAACACCTGTGAGGTCAGTTGCAGCTGACTTCCCCAATGAGCGGCCGCCCGTGGATAAGGACGGCCACGACGACAATTTTGACGTAACGTCAACGTTGCACTCTACCGACTTGGAGACGACCCTAGGAATCGTTTTTTGCCTCAACCCCAAAAGGGCTGATGCACAGCCCTTGCTGAAGGCGATCGCTAAAGTATGCGCTCCTCCAATGGCTCTTCTCCTCCAGCAACAATGGCTTCGCAGGGACAGGTTCAAGCGTGTTCTCCAGCTCGAACTTCACCGCACTGTATTCCAGGTCAGCTTTGCACGGAGTTTCACTTCATCCGGTATCTTTCAGTCTCACCCTCCATTTTCAGTACGAAATACTGGGATTTAGGCAGCTTCTCCCGCTTTCATCCTTTGTGTGTACGGGTTGTTTCGGACGATCCGGTATAGGGCGCAACTTGCAACGGTACGTATGTTCGCCGGCCTGGAGTTCACTGGTTCCCTGCCCGTGTGTGTGCGGTTTTCACACAGGAAACCTCCATCCCGATTAGGATGATGCAGCGCCTACTGGCGTTGCTCCATGCAGCTGTTGGAGCGGAAGCTGCAGCCTTTTTCATCGCAGATACACAGAATAGGAATTTTATCTGTCTAGGAGGCCACAAGAAGTGAGAAATCATATGCAAACTACGAGAAACAGTACCCTCCGTCCTGTCCCGCACTCCTTTTCCCTGTAGTCTGGGGCCAACCCCATATATCGGAGGAAGGCTATTACTTTGTATCAATCGCTGACTACAGACATGCCTGTAGGCAGATCGCGGTGTACAGGTTGTCGATGGGTGCATGTGCACCAGCTTGGCCGCAACAGTAGACCCATAACAAGCATGCTTAACTCTCAACTTTCCGGACAGATCACTTGGATGGCAAAATTCCTATTGTTTGCGAGCTCTTATGCGTGTCAGAGCAACGGGCCTCAGTCTTAGCGGAGATCACCAGCTTCTAGGTGAGGCAGCTCGCCAGCAAGGCAGGACCGTTATCTTCAACTTCCTTCCTCAGGGATTCAACGCAGAGTATGACTCTCGTGCACGCTTCGAAAGCAAGTGAGTTCATCAATAGAAAAGCCGGGCATACTTCATTCCTTTTTACAAGGATGGGGACAGGGTAGTCTCCTGCCAATCACCCACTAGAAGCTAGCCAATGTTCTAAAGCTTCAGTATGCATGGGCGTTGGACGTTGTGACTTGCAGGCACGCTATGCTTGTCCCCCTACTAAATACGCAAGGCCATGTGAAGGCTGTCGTGGTGCTTCTTAACCGATCTCACTGCGGTTGCGAGCGCATGAAACAAGCAGCAGAAGTTGCAGAGAAAGAGTGCACTTGTGAAGGCCGCGTGCGTCTTCTCGAGCCATTGGGTCTGGCAGTGGACGCCTGGAGCGCTGAGACAGCCCCTTGTGAGAACTGTGGAAGAAGGAATATGAACGAACTGTCATACGGGGAGTTCCTCGCAACGCCACCGTCGTCCCTGGATGTTGACTGTTCCAGGCACTTTATCGGGCAAGTATCCATCAGAAGCTGTAACCGCATCATCTGTTAGGCATTTTGTGTCATCCTAATTATGGGGGGGTTCATAGATGTCTGTCGAGCTAGCCAGTCTGGCAGGGATGGTGCACACCGGATCTGATTTCCACCAGCGCGTAAATATGCTATTTCAGTTGCCAGCCAAATCAATACAGGCGAATGCAACTATCTTATGGCTGTGATATGACCCTTAACTGCAGGAATCACGAGGCTTTGATGCGAGCCGTCCAGTGTGAGATGCAGCATTGGCTAGGCGGGCAACTAACAAATGTCTGCATGGCCGGCATGAGTCTTCTTCAGCCCATGGAAACAATGGTTTCCTATGTCATGGGTGACCAACAACGAGACGCCCAGAACGCGAGAAGGCCTTTCGGCGCAGTCATGGAGCAAATCGAAGTGAGGCAGTAGCCTTTGCGTACACATTCAAAAATGGGTTGCGCTGTGCCAGTCGACATCGTTGCCAGACGGCGTGGGGGAGCATGCTTCTGCCATGGCGCATTCGTCTCACTTCGTCGCTTTTTCGTGTTCCTAAGCTAGAGTAGCTCTGGAAATGTTGCAAGTAGTACTCGCAGTGCGACATCCTGGTGTTCAGTGCAAAATATGGCGCCCCATCTTAGTGTCAGTCGTCGCCCTTCCTTGTATTGCTCCTGAGTGGTTTGAACTACGTTGGAGATGCCCTACTGATGTCCGGAGTCTATTTTGTGGGCATGTTCGGTCATTGCTGTTACAGAACTTTGTTCTTCGTGATAGGCGCAAAATGATGTTAAGCCTTCGTCGTTGTGCTTCGGTGACGGTGACGGAGCCCACTTCCTCACGCGCCCTTTCAGGTGCTATAGAGGCACGGAATTTGAATATCTCTTCTTCTGGTGAAGGCGTGGGTAAGACTCTGTGTACACCCCGCCGTCGTCATGTTTCGAACATCCCTCCTACACCGGGCACGGCTATGTCACCCAGCGGAGAGAGGAAGGCAAGCGAGCAGAATGCTCGCTTTGGAGGAGCAGAGGGGGATATCACTTCTGCAGGCCGAGGCTCCTGTGCAAGTCTCCCAATAGTTACAAACGCGGGAAGCGATGCAACAGATGACCGCTCTTCTAGCAAGTACCCTGGTACATCGCGAACTAGAATGAGAGTCAGCATGACCGGTTAAATGCATATGTTAATGTATGCATACCTCGTGGAGAAGTGGTGAAGTTGTGGGACATGCAGAGGAGACTGTATGGTTAAGGCTTTTTATGCCGACTGTGGGTTGTATTGCTGTCCTGCAGAGCAAGAAGTGCGACTACTTCATTCGAGCAGCGCCCCGCTTGTTCTCTATTCGGGATTGCGCCACTCCTCCACAGGAGGAGAAGAGTTAACATCTGGAATGCAGCTTGCACAGGGTATAACGTCGGATGAAGGGCTGGCATTCCGACATAGGAGAAGCACCTCCCTTCCCTCTCTTGTCTTCTCTGCGACCCTTCAAAAGTGCACCAGGCCTTTTGATGCCATCCGCAAACAGGTATTGACCGGCTGTATACGTGACAGTTGCGGGCTTGAGTGCGTCCTTTGTGTTTGTACTACGCCTTTTCCTCTTTCCTAGCGACACTTGTGCTTGACTCTGATCTGAAATTTGCATCGTGATTACGTTGCAGCGGGTTGTGCACTGCCCGTACTTACTGTCTACTGCGCAGCTCTCTTTGGAGCCCTATCGACGGTTGGATCTGGATATTTGGCGGCGCACAGGGGACGAACTACAATTGTTCTTTTTTCTTGCTTTAGAGGAGCTTGGAGTGATGGTGAAAAGTGAAAAGGCTGGCCTGCAAGCATTTTTTGCCCTGATTCGCGATGCATACCACACCGACAACCCATACCACAATTTCTACCACGCAATGCACGTAGCTCAGGTGTGTGGTGATTTCCTGAAGTAGCACAGTAAGGGAAACTTCGAGGCTTCGTTATGTGCCTGCTGGCACCGGACACGGGACTGTATCATTAGGCAGTGCTTCATTATGGAATTCGTGGCTGGCATTCCATGTGCTGTTGATTGCCGCAGATGTGCTGGCTTTTCCTGACCCGATACTCTTGCAGAGACGCTTTGACGCTCACAGAGCAGCTCGGCTTAATGCTGGCGGGTGAGTGCTTCTACCAATAGTAGCGTATGGGGACTAGATGAATGCGCTTAGCATGCATTGGCTTTCTGTGGTGTAGTTTATCTCAAGTAGCTTTTGCAGGCGTCTTCGCATAGTAAATACTCTAGATGGAGCTGAATTGTACATATTTGCATGCAGACGCTCCAGTGTGCTTTCTGTATTAAGCCCTTTTCTAAGCATACACGAAAGGGGCTTTTTTATGTGTGGGCGTTTTCTGGCATCTCAGCTTTGACGCATGATGTTGACCACCCAGGAGTAAACAATAGCAGCCTCATTGAGGAGCACCACCCTCTTGCGATCGTCTACAATGACAAGGCAGTTCTAGAGAATCACCATGCTTCTTTCGCTACCAGCGCGTGAGACTGCCTCCCCGTTTGGCCGATCATCTGCTTCGTTCCGTTTTGGCTTCATTACCACTTCGAAATTTTAGCTTTTAACATTCTTCCGTCATCTAGACGGTTGCCTCTGTCTGTCTATACGGCTGGTTGATCTTCGACTGAACTTGCTTGCAGCATGATGAAACTTGGGCTATTCTCTCGCAAGACCAAAGCCACGAGAAAACCGCCGTGTCCTGGATCCTCAGCCTTCTCAAGTGATGCTTCAGTAGGGAGTGGGGCGCAGCCCTTTCTGGTCTCTTCAGCTTGTGCAGCGGTGCGTCAGCAGCATGAAGGCGAAGACGATTGCGCAGATGATGAGGATGAACACACATTTTATCCATCCTTCGCGGAAGTTCGTAGAGTTCTTATAACCTGCATTTTGGCAACAGACATGGAACTCTTTAGACATCATCACGAGGCAATGAGGAAGAGAGGTCAAATGAAAAGAAGTTCGTGAGAATATTTTGACCCTCCTTCGCACGTCTCTACCACTGGTTGCACGTTTATGGAGCACTAGGCGTACTTCCCTAACCGCAGTGGACCTGAATGCTGCGCTGGGATACAGCGTTTTGTAAAGCACTTGGCGGAAACAGAACACCGTGTATTTGGACTGCTGATTTGTCTCCTGTCCTCAGCTACAGGAGATTTCTTGAACAGTGATGAAGACCGCGCATTACTGACCACGTGTCTGATCCACTGTGCAGACATTAGCAACCCTTTGCTGCCTGAACGGCGGAATGTGCAGTGGGCTTCCCTCATAATTCAGGAGTTTAATGCTCAGGTCAGCGAGGCGCGTCTTCTCCAGTGATAAACCACAGTTTTTGTCTTTTGAAAGTGTCACTGTGGAGGAACTGCAGGACCAAAATCGCTAGGCAGGCGCCGAGCTGCGCAGTACGGTCTAATGTGTGGCGATGTTGGGCGTAAATTTGCGATAATTTTCGAGTTTCCTCTAGCTGAGCAAGCGTCATCGTTTGTTTGGTCTTCTTCATTGGTCTCCGTGCTTGTTGGTCGGCAGGTGGAGATGGAGAGGCACAAAGGCCTCCCAGTGACAGTCTTTATGGACACTCGCACGGAGCTGTCAAGGTGGGGCGGCACACAACTCCTGAGGTCATATGTTTCATGAAAGCGTCGGCAGTGTGTGAATTACATGCATTCAGTACTGATTAGCTGAAGACTTCTCTTTGAATGTGCAGACGTGTGCCTTGTTTTTGAATAACCAGATTTTGTTCCTGTTGAAAGCATGTTTGGAGCTGTGTGGGCATCCTGTTTGTTCGCTCTTGCAGGACGCAGTCTCAAATAGGTTTCTTATCCTTTGTTGTTCTTGACCAATTCCGCGCTCTCGCAGACTTGGTCCCTGGGGCGGAAGAGTTAGTTATTCAAGGAGAAAAAAACTTGGAAGACTGGCAAGCAGCAATGGATATTCTACGAGAAGCCGAGCGGCGGGAGGCGTGAGCGAACACTGCAGCACCTTGCTGACTTCAGGAATAATTGTATTTTCCTATTGTTACGTGCATTTTTCCCCTTTACTGATTCGTTAGTGGGGAATGTTCGTATGTTGATGATGCGCAGGTTGGGGAAAAGCGTCTCATCTCTTGACCTCCCACGGAATTTCACGTTCCGTTTAAAAAATTTGAACTTCATAGGCATGCATGGGCCCAAATGCTTTGGTCACCTCCGCAGGTGAAGCGCTTTCTATTTGCGCACTTGCGACGTTGCACCGAATCGTGATGCTTTATGTGGACTTATTTTTCCTCTGTCTGCCTTTTAAAATTGTGCGTGCAGCGACAAGTCAGACGGTTGGAGGCCACAAAGCCTGGATACTTGAACACGCGTGTCGTGGAGCGCAGATAATCGCAGTTGCATAATTTTAACTCAAGCCATTGCAAGAGCTCTTTTCCTTCTGTATCCCTTCTTGAGGGACTGCAAACTGTTGAAGGCACAAGGGCTTCTGGAGTTTGTTCAACGGCTTATATTATTAACAGCAGCGTCTTCTGGGCAGCTGTGCTTGCATCAGAGCGGTGCGCGTAACACCCAGGCACACTCAGATTCCGTGCCTTTGTCTGCAAGCATGGGCGAACGTGATAGGGCTAGCCACTCGAGGTGCTGCATTTGAACGCTTGCTTTCTCGCAGTTCAACGCGAGAGAATAATACATGCGCCTAGCATATCCTGCAGTCGGCATCGAAATAGAGTAACTTGGTTTGTCCCACAGTTACTTCAGACGACTCAGAGGCTCCGCGGTAACAGGAATATCGCCTAGAAGTCTTTTAATTTCTCGGCATTCCGGTGTAGATGCAGTTTTATTTGAAGGAGCTCGTCCACCTAGGAAAGTAAACAAAAGCATGAGAGGTGGTCTTGGCTTAGTGAGAGCAGTCGATATTTCGTTGGCTCCAACACACGAGACGGCAAGGGGGAGACACCGCGCATTGTGTTGTAGATCAACCGCCCAGGCAACAACTAGCCGCTTTTAGCACTGCTCTGCAAATGAAGCGGCTCTTGCGCACTGTCAGTACGTGTGACGTTGCTTGTCGCATGAACAGTGGCATAGGAAAACCCAACCGAATCGACGAGCCCCGCTGGGTTGTATAGGCCCTGGCCAGAACGACCACCCCGTACATGACTTTGCCTCTATATGCTGAGTATCAAGCTGAAATACATATTTGTACTACCTCAGGTGGCATTGATTCCCTACATCACGAGCAGGTAATACTACTCAATAGGGAAACGCTTGGCCCTAACTGGCAATGGCCAAACTGGCCTTTAGCAGAAGAAACAGGACGTTAGCTGGAACATGGTGCTGTTTATATAGGCCGAACTACTTGATACGTCTTCTCTAGAGTGTGCAATATCCCAATAGACTGTGCTGCGGAATAAACCTGGGATGCGTTCTAGACTTGCTGGCCTGGAGCGAAGCTAGCCTGTAGGCTTGCTGCTTCTGTGGGGCTGGTAAGTGCGTGACTGCACTCCTCTGTTCGCCTCCTCACAAGGCACAATACGATTCACAAAAAATACTGCATAATTCATCGGTCCAAGCAAATTCAAGCCCGCCAGCGCACCACGCTGGCCCTGAAAACCAGGAGGTAAATGTCTGTCTTCTTTGTCAATGCAGCAAGAACTTTCAAACCGGATGCTTCACTAGGCTGCAAAGCAGCAATATGGGCATTTAAACAAGCTACAACCTCCAGAGTGCCCGCCCCAAATGGGGAGGCGTCGGTCAGAAAGATTGCAGTTCACTATACACTGCTTTTCTGCCATAAGCCAGAAAGCCCGAAGCATCGACTGCATATTTCCAGTGGCGAGTTCATGCAGCTTGCAAGCGCCACTGGTTCAAACATACGCGCAGGAAGGTACTGGGAAGGTCTTGTTTGAAGCCAGGTGCATGTAGCACGGCTGCAATGCACTGCGACCCTCCCTCTGTACTGTAGTTATGCACTGGTTTTCCAAAAAGAACATAAAAAATAAACTCAGGCGTTCAAAACGCCTCATTGGCGGAAGTACGAACCATGCAGCATCATCTATACAACTAGCACACCGCAGCGCTCCTCTCACGTGGATGCACTGCCGCAGCACTTCCCTTAAGGCTGAACGAACATACAGGCAAAGGTGTTTGAGGCATTATACTATCCCTGCAGTGAATCACGACAGCCGTGGGGATGGCGCTGAAATTTTATGTGGGCACTATAGTGCACGCTGACGATGCATGCCTTGCCGTCACCTCGAACCCTATGGATGCTCTTTCGGGTCGGGGCTGGCTTTTGTTTCTCCCCCTTGCTCCGTCGACTCGCGAGGCCGTCGTGCCTCCTGAATGATCCTCTGCTTCTCCGCATCAGGAGGCTGCGGGGCTTTTAAATACAGGCATCCGTTTGCGGGGACATCTAACCACAAGCAATATGGCCAGCCCAACCTGAAAACAAAGTCGAAATGGAAATTGACGCGGGAAAAGGATGCAGCGAGGAGTTAGATACTCTAGCAGATGCCAGCTGCCTCTAAAGCAGATGTGAATGTCGCAACAATTTGCAGAAAAGATATATTGTACAGTCAAGTTCCTTCGCGACAAAAAGTGCATACCACCATGTTCAAGTAGGCGTACGTTGTTGTGCTCGCTATGGCGCAGAAAAATCAAGTAGTTTAACAAGCTCACCTGCCACCCTGAGTTGTGTGAACATAGGAGCCATTGCCCATCCCACACATGCCACCTGCATATTTCCAATCATCTGAATTCAACAGCAGCTGCCACTCTCCGCCATGAGGAACTCCAACGGGATATCTGAAAAATGCACACTGAAAATTCCAGTCGTCGACTGTTCCCAAGCATGTCGCCTTGCATTTGGCGTACGCAGAGCTGAATTGTATCTCGGCTACCCTACGAAGAAATTTTCCTTTTCGTATGGAAAATAGAATACACAGTGTTTACACGCATGTACATTATGCATGTGTCCTCTCGTGTGAACCGGTGGCGCCTCCCTCGAAAGAAGTCGACTAACCTGTAGTACGCCTGAGGAGAAAAATTGCAAACCACTAAAATATCATTGAACCAGAATTCGTACGAGCGGAGGAACGCCACAATGCAATCGTTGTTGTTGTCGCAATCCGTCCACTTAAAGTTCCAGGTCTCATCATCTCCTGCATGCAGCGCCGGTTGAGTTCTGTAGAGACCCAGAAGGTCTGATACCCAAATACAAAGCTTTTTCCGCAGTTCTTCATCGCCTTCGTGCCAGTCAACAGACCTGATTTCATATCCCAAACAGTACGCAACGACAGGATGGGGGAAGTGCAGATAGGCACCGAAAATACCGCACGACGGCAGCACCAAGAGGCGCAGAGGAAGGAGGCAAGATGAACAATATCGACTGAGCATATCTCTGAAGGGTATCCTAGCAGCGCAGAAGAAGGGACGGAGCAAGTGGGCAGCGAACCTGTTGTCCTTCCACTCTCTCCCTTGGCCAATCTCCCCTCCCATGAAGATGAGAGGCCTGCCTGGCATTCCTATCTGGAAGCCGTAGAGTGTTTTGAGAGTTCGTATGCGGTCCTCAAAAGGGGTTCCTAGGTACCCGCACTTGTCTAATAGACTCCCCTTTCCACTCACCACCTCATCATGAGACAGTGGCAGAATCCACCTACACAACCAAAGACAAAAACCGCACTTTAGGATGTGAACAATAAATGCGAATATCGTTCTCCTTGACGGNAGCGCGTGCCAAGATGTGACAAACCTCTCGTGTGCCATGTAGAGGCCCCTGAATGTGAGCTTGTTGTGGCATTTCCGTCGATTTTCAACGGGGCAGCACAAGTAGGAAAGCGTGTCATTCATCCACCCCAAATCCCACTTGGCATCGAAACCGAGACCTGCAGAGCCGTGATGGGATTAAAAGCACAGCAGTACAACAGGCTTTAGGGCATAGCAATGCATAGCAAGCTGGGCGAACCAATGCTTCGTGCGTGCGAGCTGCAGAGCCCTCTACATTATTCCATTGCAGATGAAACATTCTTGGTAGAATTGCTGACGTAGGAGACGCAGGGGTATATGTTTACGCGGTTCTCACCGTCCTTTTTGTCTGTAACCCCTCTCCAGCTGGTACTCTCTTCCGCCATAGTAAAAACTCCGGGAAATTCTTTATGCACTACCCAGTTTAATTCTTGAAGCAGGGAAATGGCTTGCAAGTTCGCGTCCCCTCCGTGTTCGTTTGGAAGCCAGTCTCCATCTTCTTTCTGGTGATTTTTGTAAAGCATGGAGGAGACCGCGTCGATGCGCAAGCCGTCTATATGGTAGCGCCTCAGCCAGTGGTAAGCGGCGCCTAACAAGAACGACCGCACCTCGTTGCGGCGGTAATTGAACACTGAACAACAGTCACAGAATCAAGACAACCGGAGCTGACAACATGAGCACCCCTGGCACTAATTCCACAAGCGCAACACACACCTCACCCCCCACGGAAAGAAAAGAGCTGACAAGATGACTGCATAGGGGGGTTTACTGCGCAGGAATTTCCAGCCCAACCCAACCGGAAGGGCGGTCCCTTCAGTGGAACAGATGCATATCCAGAGGCAACAATCATCGATAAGTCACGCATTGAGAATCGTGTGTCTCACCGGCGGTCCCCCAAAGTTTGTGCTCCCCTTCTCTAGGGTCTGCGTACTCGTAGCACGGCTCTCCGTCGTAGTAAACGAGGCCCCATGAGTCCTTACAAAAGTGTGCCGGCACAAAGTCGATGAATACTCCAATATTGGCCTGGTGCAAGGTGTCCACCAAATACTTGAAATCATCTGGAGTCCCCAAGCGGCTGTATGGCGCGTAGAGACCTGTTACCTGCACAAACATCCCAGATGCAAGAAAAAGAAAGCGGTGGTTTCTGATGACACCAGGAGTCACGCAATGCAGGTGCAATACGACAACTTAAGAAAGCAGCTCCGTCTCAGCAAACTGCAACCAGGGCACAGAGCTAATCTAATAAGCTAGACAACGGTTACGCGAACACCTCTGACAGTGGCATGCAGGCAAGACCGCACTTGGTATCCCCAGGAACCTTCGAAAGGGTGATGAGCCAGTGGCAGGAACTCCACGTGAGTAAAATTCATATTCTTTACGTGGGGAACCAGCCTGTCGGCCAGTTCTCGGTAGCCTGCGCAGGGAAACGAACCCAAAATTCGTATGTTTGTATCAACTGAATGTCTCTCTCACAGGGAGTAAGACTCTTGCCAAGGGTCACTGGGGACATGGGATGACTCTTGATTAGTGATCACGGAGATGCTGTTTACACAGTAGCCTCAGAGGGCAGCCTAAAACATACTTAGGTAACGACCGTCTTGTCCCCTCATCCAGCTTGGAAGGTGCACTTCGTAGATGGCCATGGGTTCCCTATGGAGCATATCGGTTTCTCCAAGCTTCTTGCGCCTTGCCATCCACTCCTGGTCATGCCACTGGTAGCGCGCCTCAGCCTGATCGCCGCGCGCACGCCCCCCAGGCCAAAAACATAGACCCTGAAGCCTAGGCCCAAAAACCCAATGACTCACACGTGTGCAACGGCACCCCATCCCCCAAACCAACACCCTGAATTCCAAACGCTTCGTACATTTTTGAAAGCGTCATCGCAGGCGCTGATGATGCTGGCGGTTTTGGGAGGCACTTCAAATTCTTGAGCATAGGGGTCTATCTTGATGAAGTCCGTCCCGTTTCTCGCATGGATCCTGTAACCGTATTTTTCCCCTGGGCCTAGTCCTGGAATGAACAAGTCCCAACAACCAAATTCTACCCGTTTGCGCATAGGGTGGGCACGACCGTCCCAGCCGTTCCAGTCCCCCACTACGGAGACGCAAATGCAGTTCGGAGCCCACACAGCAAAGCGAACACCAACGACGCCGTCAACTGTAATGATGTGCGACCCCATAAGGTTGTCTACATGCCAGCAGGAGCCTGATTTCACATAAAATGCGCACGTTCGCATGTGGAGATCAGGAAGGAAAGGAACACAACTAATACAGGCAGCGAGAGGAATGCACCCGAAAAGAAACAGCCCGTCGCATACATGGAGACAGAAGAAGGCTGGGAAAGAAGGTAAACAGTGAAACGGAGACAGACAAACTCAGCAAGCACACACAGTTCACACACAGTTACTGCACCAGCCGGACTCTATCCGGTAGAGTCAAAATATCCCTTCCTGCAAAACAAAACAGCTGAGACAAGAGCAGCGACTGCAGCAGCAGGGATCAGTAAGAACATGAGGACGAAATCGCACGTCTAAACGCTGCGAAATGCAGAGTTTTACCAGACTGAAAAAGCTCCAAGTTGTACTGGGGGACGGTCATGCCGAAGGAGTACGTGTCATAAATCACACGTGGGGATTCTTCTGCCTCTCCTCGCACCAAAAGCTCGTAGTCTAGGGGCACGTATGGGTCGGAGTTCTTCACTGCGGGGCCTCTAGAGGAAGCTGAAGGGTCTGTTGTGTATATCTCAAATGCCTGCGCGTACACTCGAAGCAAAGAGAGCTCTGGCCAACCTGCTGAGAATTGAAAGGGCTGACGGCAAAGCGTGCTAGCGCAGCACCGAAAAAGAATACTTCAAATACGTTAGTGCTAGGCCCTTCTTTCATGCTTGCCTTGTGAAAGAGCAATTCTCCCTTCCTCTCAAGCTTTATAGACTCTAAAGGCGGTGGTAGTCGCCAGTCTGAGACTCCTGCCCTTGGCCTGAGCTCCACATGGTTTACGTTCTTCAGCCACACACGGACAACGACGACCCTTTTGTCTGTGTCTGCGCACTCCACTTTATGGCAGCCTAGCATCCTGAAGGGGTCAGCGTGTCTCGCCAGGTTCAGTAGGTGCATGTCATACTCTGGGATGTCTGCACTAGGGGGAATTGTGTCAAGGGGAACAGCCATGAAGTGTGTTTGTTCGTGACGCTGTGCTTCCTCCACATGGTCCACCTTCGCCACGTCGTTCATATTCGTGTTTGGTTGCTCTTTTGGACCAGGCGTGGGTACATAACCGGTCGGACATGCTGTCGTCCTCTTCGAGGGGCCGAGAGCAACGGCGTCATCGTGTTTTGTCTGCTGTTGTTCATGCAATACGCCATTTGCGTGGGCGTTCTCGGAACCTTCAGTTTTCTGCGCTGCTGAGCATGAGTTGTACACCACTCCCGCTGAATCTCGAGTAGCTGCAGTGTCGGAGAGACGGACTGCTTCATTGAGGCGACCGGGCAGCGCTTCCATCGTCGTCGAGTCCCTGGTCTCCGTGCCTGCTGGGTCTTGCGAAGGGTGCTGAAACGAGGATGTGGGAGAGCAGAATTTCGTGTGGCTGCCGCTGCCTTCTTTGGGGTCGCTTCTAGCCCCTATTTGGTGTGCCTGAGTCTGCGCGCTGTCTGCCATCTCGGGTGGGAGAGCTGGAGACGTGCCTAATGATCGCTCAGGGACAGGGGAGCAAATGAGATAAGCTTGTACTAGACCTAGATGTATGTGTAGCGAAACTCCTCACTGCTGGGAACGAAGTCGACACGGAACCTGCGGTGAGGTAGTCCACGCCGATAAAGCCGACACCAGAAGCCCCTCGTGCTAATGAGGGCGGGGCTAGCCCACGAATATCACTTCTATATTTTCTCTCCCTATGTCACTGCGTAGCCCCAGTGCTCCCAAAACACCTCAGTGTTCAGTACCCTGCGCCCCGAAGACACGAGCACCGACAGAGCGGCGGATGACCCACGGGGGTCGTGAATCCGCCAGTAACAGTGAAATGGGGTAGAAGGGAGGCCGGAATATAGCGAATAAATAAATTTAACTGTTTCGCAAACGTGTTGGAGAGGAATTGTGCAACGGGAATGAAGAAGAATGCTGGCCCTCAACTGCCGCATGGTGGCCAGCTTCCTATCGCGCGACACCAGCAACTTCCTGCTATGTAATGTGACAGCAAGGCTCGGCCAACATCTGGCTTTTTCTTGATTCTCTAAGTAGAAAAGTGAATCTAAAAGAGTGTATAATTTGGGTCTCCATATAATGTGTGTTGTGTGCGAACATCGTCCCTCCCCTGGTCAATTCAGAAACGAATACCCCAGAGTCTTGCCCATCTGCCTTACTCTATCTCCATCTCCGTTCCTGCTGCTTTCCTGTGCTGCACTAGCATTCCCAGCCTGCAGCAGCACCTGCAGTACATTTTTGAAGAGAGTGTCGTCTACAGGCTGGTGGCGGTGGACGGTAGAGCAGTTTTGGCTAATATTTCCTTGTTTACCTTGGGAGTACGTCCATGCTTACTTTACATGTACTTCTGCTTGGTTTCTCCTTTGCCGTTTTTTCTGTGTAAGGGATTACCAGAGGAGCTGAACTCTTCGCAGCTCATATGGGGCACACACACTGCCGCTTCCCCTGTGGAGCTTGAGACTGCTGTCCTGTTTTTTCAGCTAACTCCACACATGTGATAGAACATGAGTGTGGGAGAGCAAAGATGTACTGGGGAGGGGAGACCGAGTAAACTTAGTAGCTAGATCCATCTTTCTACAGCTCCGCTTTCCTCTCCTGTAACAGGACCCTGTTCCTCCCTTGAGAGGAAGGGTAAGAATAGCATGAAGTTGGTAGATGTATTACTACTTGCGCAGCAGGCCAGCTACTGAGGGTCAACTAGGCGTTTTAACAATTGTTTACGGTGTTAGTGCATGCACCAACTGGGGGGCTTTTGCTTGCTTGCGTGCGGGGTTGCAGCAGGGTTTGCAACAAGGCTGCCAAGCAACTCCTGACGGGCACGCTCCTGCCTGCACCATCCCCAAGCCTTTTTGTCATGGTGCACAATAAGCCTGAAAACCAAAGGTTAAAAATGTTGCTTTTTCCGGATCCCTACCTTCAGGAAGCAGACTCTACTCCAGCTGAAGACGCTCCTCAACCAGGATCGAGGAGAGTCGTGAGCTTCGATATAGTCAAGATACATGGGGTCCCGTTACATTTGATAGCAATCCATCGTAGAGAGGGGCCGGCCTCGACTACGAACCCCACCCTTCACAGGTGGGAAGCCTGATTTGTAGCACCGATTGGTAGTGTATTTGGCTTGTTTGGAAATGGAGGGGAAGGATTTTGCATATTATTCCTATAATCTGTACAGATGATCCGGCCTTTTCCAAACACGAAAAAGAGATTGGTCAGGATCTGCAACCACATCGCTTTGGAAAATCAGCTACGCTTCGAGCCGAAAGTGCTTTTAGAGGGTGAACAATCCATGGAGAATGCATCCTGCCCTGCAGAGCGGCAAAGCATGACGGGCGCCGCTATGGGGGGGCAATCGAAGAATTCGTTGCTTCTGTGGAAGAGCACCTGTCTCTTCAGAATGTGCTCAAAGATCTACAATTACACGCCAATGGTGGTTTCATCGAAACTTTTCCGTAGCGCAGCCGTACTATGGCACTTTAAGGGATGTGCTGCAAAATAGGTGTTCCCCCAGGTAGGCACGAGAACAAGCTATGGTAGAACTAAGAAAACTTATGAACGATGGGAGGTGTCGACAGAGCGGTGCATCGGGATCTATCACTCCGTACTGAACAAAAGTCCAGCGGTGGATCAGGAGCTCGTATTTCAGCGGTTCTTAGTGGGCCCATTCTCTGGAGAGAAACTGTAGTGAATACTCACTATGATCAACGCAGCATTGCTAACTGGCAGATTGCCGTGGTCATTGCGCTGTAGTGAACATTGCTTAAACATAGAAATTGATGTGAGTACAAATTCATATTTGCTGACACAGTACTTGCTGAGTGCATTAGTTACTGCTTAAGAAAACGTGGTGTATTGTTATGACTGCGTGAGAGTCTAGAGTGAGACTTAGTGCAAAAAGATATTGCAACACGTCAGGCTGTCTTCTACCCCAGCCCCTAGGGCCGCAGCGCCGAGACAAGTTGGGATGAGAGGAGAACAAATTTTGAGCAGAGAACAAGGAAACTTTCTTTAAGCTTTGTTGGCTTTTGTTTGCTCGCCGAACCGGAGGAGACGTTTGAGGTTCTCTATCTCAGCGAACTTATCTGAGGTTGGCTGTCAGGTTGTGCTCGCCGGCCCGTTGTTCTAGGCAGTGGAGATTGACGGATATGCCCCAGAAAGGTAATTCAGAGGAATAGCCTTTCATTCAGTCCTACTTAAAGAAATATTATACTAAATAATAGTTTTCTCTATTAGTGTGTACTCAACAAGGCATAACAAGAGAAGGACTGGGGGCTTACGCATTACCAGCTTCCTTGGCCGGCATTTCCTCCATTGTCACTGTTGTATACCACCCCATCTTGTGAAGTGACTCGGATCCCTACTAGAATTCACACTTGTATTTTTCTACATTTGTGTTGTCATTGAAAGCACAACTCCGAGAGGTGCGGAAACTGTTTGGTGTGCCCAGTGATGAATGCGTGCTTCCTGTTCCAGTTCCGAGAGAACTGAACTCTCCTCCAGCAGTTTGCTATAGGGGAGCTTCTCACAGAAACAGTTTACAACTGGAAGGGCGGGAGGCGAGGGACGGAGAGGCGCATATGGTGTGAAAGGGTGAAAGACGTCGACATGATTGAGCAAAAAGTAGTGATCACACCGCTCAACCCTAGCTGAAATGGAAGACAAAGGGCTTGAAAATAACTCAGATATAGATTATATGGATAATTGGGCAGGAACAGCCAGCGTTGCCCAAATAAAAGTTAAAATGAACACCTATAGCAGACGACAGCAGAAGAATCCGGCACTCAGAAGGCAGGGGGACGAACTGAGCGGAGCATCCAATTCCTCTGCAATAGAGGTAGCCGCTCGACTCGAGATCTCATGCGCGCGGAAGGCGGTAAGGAACTGGAGAAGCACGGCTTCTCGGAGAGAAATCGTGCTTCTCCATTTAAGCTTTGTTAGCTTTGTTATTTTGTTGAATCGGATGAGATCCCTGAGCGTCTGTAGCATGAGAGATTTTGCATGGCTTTTGTCAACTTATGTCTGCCGGCCCGTTATACCCAGCAGTGTGGGTTCGAAAGATGCTCACCACAGTAGCCTCCACAGGAGTATCCTATTAATATGTCATGCTTAATAAAGCATATTACACTTTAGTGTAATCTTTTCTGTAACGTGAACAAGTATCGGCATAGCATGTGAGAGACTGAGGGCTCAGCCAAGACATCATCAGCTTCATCGGCCCGCAGCACCTCCATCATTATGGATTTACTATACCCCATCGTTTGAGGGAAGTCAGATCCTGACCAGCTGACCAGCTCTCACAGTTGGGTTTTTCCATGCGTTTGTGTTGTCGTTGGGGGCACAAGACGCAGGGCTGCGGATATTGTTTGGTGCGCTCATTGGTGAGGGTGGGATCAAGTCCTGAGGGCTCTATCATCCCTGAAGCCCCAAACTCCACTTAGCTGGCTTGCTCTAGGGGAGTTTTTCACAACGAGCGCCATGTGTATCCGCCCCCCAAAAGACACTATTGAGGTATACTCAACGGAAGCAGTGAAAGAGTACATGCTTCACCGCTCCCACGAGCAATAACGCCCGCTGTTGTAAGAGGACTGCAACCAATGTCCCACGAAGGAAAGGGCAAGAAGACTCCAGGGCAGTGCAGCAGCGCTCCCCGAGGCTACAAAGAAATGCAAGTACGGCATCGTGAGCGGCCTATGAAGTGCGCACCTTCGGACGATCTCATCCAGTTGGCACTCGAGAAACAGTAGAAGCTGGAGCAACCGAACCCAGCTGCTTCATATTTTTTGAATGCCAGAGAACTACCAGAGAGGTGGCCACTTCGTGGTGGCCCAATGAACCCAATGCACCGCACCGGTTCCGAGGAGTAGCATCCTGAAAATAAAATAAACTGGGAAGCAGAGAAACTGCTAAGAGCATGCAAAGGTCAACTGTCAACTGGCGCGTTCGGAAGCATTCCGGTCGCGGCGAAGCAAAAGGGTGTGGGGTGCGGGAAGTGCGTCAACGTCGAACCCCTCAATAAAGTCAAAGTAAAACAAATTACCGTCTCCGCAGATCGGCGAGTAACTTAGCCACTAAAAGAGCGTTGCCATCCGTCTATCAGCTGGCACGTTTTTGCAGATTCCTTCACTTCGAGACGGCAGGCAAGAAAGTGCTCCTTCCATTTGCACTCGTAAGCTTTGGTGCTTCTGTAGTATATTTGGGTTAAGGAATTCACCTGCAGAATTGCAACCACCCGTCAATTCAGATTGCTTGGGAGCACTATGCGCTGGACGGCTATAGCATGGGCAGTGGGATTATGTCCAGCGGGAATGTTGAGGAGTGCCTGAAGTGCGTACGGTTTGCGCTGCAACTGCTGCAATAGAAGCAGGTGCCATCCAAAGCACAAAGATGCTAATTTTTTTCATGAAAACCAGGGAATTGAGGGTTTCGTGGCGCAGCAACAGGGACAGGAATCTAATCAAAGCCGCCGAAGCTGAGAGCCATTTGGAGGTCTCTACTTCCCCTGTACACTTGAAATGAGATCCAGAAGTTCCTCCGTCTTGCATCATCCTACAGCAACTTTACCCCTGGATCCGCTCGCACTTTCTCCCCTCACGTGAATATAATGAAGAAGGGGAAACAACTTGTTTGGACAGATACCGAAGAAGATGCTGCCAGAAGCCCAATTAGACGTTTGGAATTATCTCTAGTGCGCTGCCTGATTTCGTCGAATGCCTTTTCCTAGCAATAGATGCCACTCACACAGCCATTTGCGTGATGTTCTCTCAGCAAGCAGACGATTTGTGAAGTTACCAGGTAATTGCCTTGGCCTCACACCGTTTCACAGAGAGAGCAGAAGTATCCCACGTGAGCAGGTCCTCTAGGCAGTCTGGCGCTGAGTATAGAAGCGCCAACAGTACGCATAATCAAGGCTTTTCACCCTTCAAACTGACCATAAATCCCCGAAACACCTGGCGCAATATTCTCCAGACTTCAGTGAGGATAGGATTGTTCGGTGGCTCTGTAAGCAATTGAGTTAGCTGTTAATGCACGCACCAAATGCCAGTTTGGGGATGCTTACGTGCGCGTTTTCCTTGTAGCAGAACTTCCAGAAAGTGCAAAAACTCGCAACAAGACGCACCATCCCTAGGCTTTTCTACCACTGCTCAGGAAGCCTAGAATGCAGATGTGAGGTAGGCTACAGAAGTGTCAAAATGGGACAACATTCCCTCAAGGGGAAATGCTGCCTAACTCATTCTGACGTTTTGGCTCTTCTGCAGCTCACGAAGCTCATCAGCTAAGATGGAGGATTCTCCTTACAGAGGCGGTGCGGTTCGTAGTCTCTCATGCTCCACTAAACCGTGTGGCGCTATGAAGTGCAACGCGAGTCCTCGGCCCCATAATAGGACAATTGTGAGGGGCAACAGAATTAAAATGCTCAGTATAGGAACTCCCGCGCACAATCGGACAACTCATCCAGTCTCCAGAAACCCGGTGCAGAGCGGAAGCGAGCGCCAGGGTGTAGGGTGAAGAGCAACCAGCCTCTTCGTTCCCAGTACCGTTACACCTTACTGCAACGCTTGCTGCAAGACAACCCCACGTACAAACTTACCCGTGCCCCCTGTTGATGCATGCACACTGTGCGCATTTCTTAAACATGTACATGGCCCTCAATAACGAGAGTTTGCTAAGCAAAAAAAGTATATACTAGCATCAGACAGTGCGTACTGCAAGCCTAGTGGAGTTTTTAGCGAGAGGCCGATGAGCACATTTCCTTCCGAGAAGCCCCTGCGGAAGTAGAAAATGTCTTAAAGGATGACCTTGTGCAATTACATTTCACACAGTTTGTCGTGTTCTACAAGGAGGAAGCGGGGAAACTTCAAAAACAGCCCTACGAGTTGGGGCCTGCAGTTACGGAATAGCGGGCGATCAGCCGCTGCTGATTGTCCTGTCGCTAGAGTTGCGGGTGATCGGCGAGCGCCGCTCTCTCTTAAGAATGGTGTAGTGATGCATGAGAAAGTTAAAGTATTGAGATAGTATGCATGGCAGCTGAAGGAAACTAGGGTATATTTGACGATCTTTGGGACAGCAGCCGCTCCGTGAGGCAAGAACATCTTCGTGGTTGATTTAGTGTCTGCATTCGTCCTTTAATGCGAAGAGAATCTTTTTTCTAAGGCATTGTTTCTACGGTACTCACATATTTTATCTGCTGCTACACAACGGATGGGATACCCTACTATTCCTTTCGACGGCATTTGCTGCTGCTTCCGCAGTGCATGAGCTCCTCTGCAATTTTCGCCCCCTACGATTGTTCAGGCGCTGTGTAAAGCCTGTAAGGCGCACCAGTATTAGCAGCTGTAATTGGGTGTTCTTTTGCCTAGTGGTACGGGAGACCGGCAGCAGCGGCGCCAACTCTGCCCCAGGCGGTGAGATGGTCTTTCTTGTTGTAGCCCGTTGTGGCATCTGTGTATTCTGGCGTTCCACAGGGCAGCAACAGGAAGGACCTAAAGCAATAACTACGGCAAATCTGAGCGGCTGGGCCGAGAGTATCCCTGCATCAGCAACAACAACAACGCCCGCTGTAGTAACAGGGTAGCCGCTGATGGAGGCTGCCCACGACTCTAGCAGAGGTGGAGCGGCGCAGCATGCTTCGACTGCGCAAAGCCTTGCGAGAATTCTGAGGGAGCATAGAGACATACAGCGCAATGCTTCGCCTCACTGGACGGCAGCTCCTCTTTCCGTGAGTATTCTGCTGTTCGCAGACGAGGCTGTGAGGCTTATGCTTTATGAGCTTGCTGTAGCCGGGGATTCTATTTCCTTTCCTGCCTTCGGAGTATTTGTGAATGATGTGCTCTCCGCTCCGCACAAAAGTGCGGTTCGAGCGGGCAGTGCGTGAGAGTAGACTGGGGGCAGCTCAACGTAAACCACGAAGTGCCTGCGCAAGTGTTTGTTTGCTTCTGTTCAGCTCGAGGAGCCACGAGAGTGGCACTTTACGCTGAGAGGACCACCGGATTCTCCGTTCGAGGGGGGTCTGTACCATGGGCGTATAGTGTTGCCAAAGAACTACCCGTTTGCTCCTCCATCTCTGATGCTGCTTACAAGAAACGGCAGATTCGACATCAACAAAAAGGTGAGGCTGTTGCGCCCCTGCGCGTCATCACGGGAGGTTGCCCTTGTAGAGGCAGGATGCGTTACCGCGGAGGGCTTATGCACGAGCTGATACTCCAGCTGAGAGGTTGGGAGGACGGCAGCCACGGGAAAGCCGCTGGACCTTCTTTTTTTTTCGTCCGTATGATTCTTTTACTGTGGGACTCCTTTGTAATACTTGCGCCTCCCTCCTGCATGAGGGTGTTAGAGCTTCTGCTCGCTTGATCGACATACGTGTGGCTGTATCGTGTGTACTGTCCATTCGTCTCTGCGCTCAGATATGCTTAAGCGCCAGCAGCCACCACCCTGAGCTCTGGCAGCCTGCATGGGGCATTCGCACTCTTCTCGATGCACTGTGTGCCTTCTTCCCCACGCCAGCTCAAGGGGCTCTTCATGCGTTAGAGGCCTCAGAAAAGGTATGGTGATGCTCCTGCTTTTTCCTTGAGAATTGTGCAGCTGCCGTTGCTTTGAGGCAACAACTCCTGCCATTGTGCTTGTAGATGTGCCGTTATCACCAGTGTTGCCAGTGTAGCTGGAGCTGGTGTCGGTAGGGATGCTGCATTGGTGCTCCTGAGGCCGCTTGCTTCCACTGGAATATTTTCTTTGGCACTCGTTTTGAACTGGGCCTTCTCTGCTTGTGCCGTGCCAGTGAAGTCATGCAGCGAGACGCGTGTCTTCCCGCGGCTTCTTAACACTTGTTCGTTGTGCTTTGTCTTGCGGCACAGTGTGTGATGAATAAGTAACGTTGTTGGGGCTCTTATTGTGCCTGCACCGTCTCGTTCAGGACCGGAGACAGATGGCCCTCGAGAGCGCCTCTTGGGTGTGCCCAGTTTGCAAAAGACCCAACCGGCAACTTGTTGAAGAGGGCTGCGCCGCACCGTCCAACACTTTACCAGTAAGCGCGTAGCACAGTGGAAAGGTGGAAAGAAGGTGGAACGGCAGCAGTGTCAGATCGAGACAGACGTACTGCAGTCAACGAAATGCCACGAATTTAGTGAGGGTCGGGGAGAGAACACGAGCAACGTGCGTCGGTTTGTGATGCGTTGGCCGTAGGAACTACCTGAACAGTTGCAGGCTCAGGCCCTCCTTGCGAGGGACAGAGGCAAGGAGCAGCCCTCGAAGACAGAGGCTGTTCAGGGGCCATTGCCGAACTCCCAGGTATTCGACTACACGCCGTCGGTCCCCAGTAGAGAGCTGTGTAGTCGAGTTCTGCAATGAACAGAAGACGACAGTGAATATTGCACACTTGTCTCTCAGTCTGCTGGTCCACAAAGAGCGCATTGCTTCTGTTGGAAAATGCAATACGTTCATGAAGTTGACGACAGCTGCTGTTCATATGTCCTGTTCGGCGCTACTGTTGCAGGTTGGGAGCCCGTCCGATGTTGGCACAGCTGCGGCAGTGCCACCTTCCAGAAGCAACAGCGGCAACAACAGTGGCAACAGTGCTGCGAACATCAGCAGTGGCAGCGATGGACTCTCTGTTACGCGGGATGCTGGGGTTTTGCCAACGGGCAGGCGACCTGCTCGGCCTCAGGCTTCTTCATTCTGGGCTTACCGGCTTGGTTCGCCGTCAGACAGAACGGAATTCCTTATTGCATGGGCCGATTTGATGCTCCTGCTGTTGCTTCTTGCTTCATTGGTGTTGTTGGGTGACTTGCTGTTACAGCCTCCCAGGTTTTCTCTGCTGCTCCCCTCGCCTTCGCTCAACAGCTGATCCTTCGGGATCTGCCTTCACTTGCCATCAGCAACAGTTATAAAAGCGCCAAGAGCATCCTCTAGCGACGACTGCAGGAGCAGAATGTAAGGCTAGTGCAGTTTCTTCTGAGAGAATTACTTTATCAGGTTGATTGTTTGGTTTAGATTATCGTATGCCAGCACCCGATTTACGGTCTGGCAGATGAGGCAACTCCATGGAGGTCGCATGTACCAGGAGAGCGCGTTTGCGTCTTCTTTTGCTGCCGCTTCGTTCACCCTGCCTTCTTTAGTGGTTTTCCACAGACGTTTCGAGGTTCCTCGTTACCGCCACAGGTTTGCCAACTGCAGGAACAGGCTGCAGACAGGCAGGAGGAAATCGCCAGCTTTTAACGCAGCTGCAACAGGCAGATATGCACTTGTCTGGAAGGCAGGTGTGAGATGGTGCCTTTTTGGGTTCTAGGGACGCTCTCTCCACCCTGCTAATTACATTTTTGTTGGCAATTCTTCTGGCTAGTTAAGGCAGCATGATGTGCAGAAAGAACAGCTTTTAGACGTTAGAAACACGAACACTTGCAGCTTAATGACTCCCTCGAATGCTTCACTGTCAGAAAACTTCCAATTAGTATCACTCTTTTTCCACATATCTTGGTGACGTCTTTTGCGGACATTCTCGCAACTGCCGCTGAAAGCTCCACACAGATAGACGAGCTCGGAAAGGTACAATTGGTAGGAATAAATCATGAAGAGCTCCCGGCGGCGAGATATTGCCTAGCATGCAGTAGAGCTATAGCAGTCGCGTGATGCACAGTGAATGATGGAGGAGCGTTAGGGGCACAAGAAGGGGACGGAATACATTTGCGTCCACCACGCAATCGGCGCAGAGTCGCTGTTGTGGAAATGGCTGGGAAGGCATCCTGATATGGGGTCCCCTGGGGGGGAAGTCGGAAGTAAGCGCTGTTTCTTGATGCACCAATATTCGTTGCGGCGAGGTGTAATCTCCCAGTCAAGAGGGAGACAGCGCCTACCTAGTGGGACATCAGCAGCATAAACTGGGCTGCGCCTCTATGCGCTAGGTGAACTTGATATTAATGGTATATGCAAGCAGACTCATCAGCCACAACCTAGGACCTTAGGGAGCGGCGACAGAACGATTAACTGAATCAATTTCTAGTGATGGACCACATGGGAGCCCCCTACACGTTCCCGGCTCAGCTAGGTGGACGTGCCAAGGCAGTGCTCATTTCGGAGATGTGCTGGGTTGAGTGCATATCCTGGAACACTGCTGCGTCGCACCCACTGGCACTGGTCCAGGTCCAGGACCTCCTAACGCAAGTAGAAAGAAGCGTACTAACGTCGTACGCACAATGCTACCGCGGTGGGTAGGCTGGCTGCTGATGCGGCTCAAACCCCCTTTTGATGCAAGTACTCACACTGTCAGCAATCGTTCAGCGCAAACTTGATCCTCAGTGGCTAGCCTGCTTGCAAGCAGAAATGCATATACCAACTCAAGACAGACATCACTACACTAGCAGTAAGTTACGCCAAGACAGTCAGCCAAAGTCGGCGAAGCGTCCCATAAAAAGTACTCATGCTCGTATCCTTGGAACTCTTCAGTATTTGAAAAAACAAATGATTTGCTGTGTGAGTAGACCAAACAAGAAACGCTCAAGCTCCCTGCATGCCTCCATAAGAAACACCGTCACACTGCTGCCTGGCGAGACAGGGCTCACAAACCCCGATATTGAGACAGCGTTGCCTTAGCAAGTTCAGGGTAAGACGTTCGCGTCATTCAATACTCCTGCTTTGCCCTTTTGTCAAGCAGACACACATAGTGTCCGCAGGACTTGGGGCCCCTTGTACAGAGCAGCGCGAGGCGCGCTTCTGTGCGTTGTGCAGGCCGCCGTGACGAAGAAGGGTTCAGGCGGCATATAGTGGCCTCTAACTTCGGTGGTTTTTGCTAATTTTGCTAACAAAGTGCATTTAGACACTCGTCTTTTCGCGCATTCTCCTCTCTTGAGTGTTCCTGCAGCCCCGGACCTCCGTCGTCGCGTGGGGTGCCGCGTTGCTGCTTTCCACAGGTTTCGCCGAGCGGTGGTTTCTGTGGGTTTGCAGTGTATATACTGGGGGTAGATTATCTGCGACATAAATAAGTGTGTAGTGTCCCGCTGTGCTGCTGTGTCTCATACTAGGGACCTGCGCGCTCTCCAATTGCGGTGTCAGTGAACCGCAGCTGTGTTGCTTGCCTGCACTCCCCGGTGGCTGTATATCTCGGTTAGCGTTGAAAATGGGGAGCTCACAGGACTGCAGTGGTTGCATTGTGTCCCGGGCGCTGGGCCTGGAGTCGCGGGCAAACAGCCTAGCGCTGTTCGTTTCTGTGAACCTCTTTTATTTCCTCGTCTTCGCAATGGGAAAGAGCATGGTGTCCCTCTGCTGCTACTTGTGCTTGGCTCCAGTGATGCTGGGGCTGCTGCTGAAGGCGCTTCATCTCACCCCGACAGAGGAGGGACCTTGGGAAATCGTCAGCCGCTCCGGCATCGAGAGTGCTGTGGGACGGCTGTACGAGAAGACGAACCAGTTCTTGGAGTTTTGTCGTGATGTTTGCCTGTGGAGAAACGTCTTCTTCACTACTAAGGTCTGCTGCGTTCTGCTGAGTCTCGGATATGTTTCTTCCTTCTTATCTTTCGCCAGCCTGGTGTTCGTCGCGACTTGGGCTTGGTTCCTGTACAGCAGCTGTTCTTCTATATTCCACGACACGGTTTATCCCATTGTTTCTCCGTACATTAAGATGGCGAATCAGACCTTCCACAAAGTCTTTCAGTCGATTCCGAAGATGGAAGCCAGTGATAAGAAGCTCTAGTGTGTCCGTCGCCCCTCAGTTGCTCAGGGGGCCAGAGGGGTTCCTCTTCGACGTCTTTTCGCCTAACCGTTAAGGCACTGAGGTAGAGGGGGACAGCTTCCTAGAGCTTTACAGCATCTGCGGTGGGAGCGTGGCGCCCAACAGCAGCCCCTGTGCAGTGCGGAGTGGGCCAAGGCGCAGCGTCGGGCTCTGCAGACAACCTGTCATGGCGAACTGTGCCGGGGGTATTCCTGTCGCGCTGGAAGAAGTTCCAGTCAAGTACATTGGGCTTGTTGAGTGCAGGGTAGGTAGTTAGCTGGGACGGGGCATCCACCGCCCACCCAGAGAGAGGACGCAACTTCCCTCCTCTCCCCTGCGCTCGTATCCACGCTGCTTCAGTCAGACGGTATATACCTGGGGAGCGCTGGTTATTTTGCTGCGTTAATGGTATAGTAGCTCCTGCGGTGGCTCCCCCTTGCGCTATAAGCTGGTTGAAGACTTTGACCCCTTTTACCTTTAAGTGTGCCACAAACTGCTACGTGTAGCTGCTTTGAGGTGAAGTTGCACACCGTATAGGACATTCACAGCCAGTCAAAATATCGTATGGGTGCCACATGTAGGTGGGGCGCCCCAGGTATACCTTGTGACTCTGCTGCAATTTGGCGGAGCAGCAGCTGCTCCTTGTAGCATATGGTTAGGGCTGTCATTATTAACTAGCCGCTGCATGGGACTGAAAGCCTAGTCAGTGACATGTTTCTCGATCAGCCTTATATTTGTCCGTTGTCGTTAAATACTATTAAGTAGATATTACGTACGTGAGGACTGTCCGCATGCGAATTTAAAAGCTGGACTGGGAGCTCCGCAAGGGAAGTAGAACGGCTCGGAGAGCGTACAAAGGGAACTGCACCGTCCTTTCAAAACAGAGGCTGCAGTGTTACGGGTAAGTTCATGCAAATGCTAAACGGTTTGACGTGGGCTTCTTAGGCGGCTGCGGTTGCCTAAGAGCCGACCTACGAAGGAGAAGTTTCCCTCGCCGTCTGCAGTCTGCCTTGACTGTAGAGGAGATATGTTCAGTGCTTCTCGTGCCTTCCTGGATCTTAGCGCCGCCGGCAGATCGGAGTGTGGATGCCAAAACCCTTTGTTGCTGTGACGCAACGTGGGGCACAGGGGTGCTAGAAGCCAAGACACGCAAAGTGAGGGAGACGAGACGGGCGCCGGTTTCCATCTTCTTCACTTCAAGTACTTGAAGAGATCTTTCGCTACCTGCAGGCGGATCGAAACAACACAGGTCCCTTTGCAAAGGGCTTTTGTTTTGCTCCCTGTTGCGCCAAAAAACCAAGCAGACAACTAATCTGAACCTCAACACCTCTAAAGATACCCATCGAAAAAAAACGGAAACAGTGGGACTCCACGCAAGGTGTCCAGAGCTACGTCTGGGTGGCCACGGCGATATGTCGAAGTGTAGGAGCGGTCTACTTCAGATATATTTGAACTGGAATCGCTTACACATCTGTCCACGCACGTCTGCAGCTCCTCGAACTGGCCCGCGCAGTTCCCCCGTCCGTCAGTGCGGGCCTTGAGGCGGTCGCAGCAAGCCTACAAGTCCAACACATAGCAGGCAGCCGACAAAACAAATCATTTGTCTCAATTGAAAAAAAAGCACAAAAAAATCTGCGCAGTTAACGGGCCGCAGCAACTTGCGAGTGCGTATCGCCAAGCGATGGGCACGCGCATACCCAAGGAAGGTTATTGACAGCATGTTGAACAATGCATTGATACTTCATACCCAAATGAATCAAAAAAGTACTTCCCATGACCTGGGAGACTATATACCTGCCTTGCTGCTCTTTAGTGTAAGAATATGGCAACCGTAAATGCAAAGCGGGTATGTAAGCGAGCATCTCGCCCGGAACAGTTTAGGCGGGCAAGTAAGCAAAACGGGAGAGGCTCGTTGTGTGAGCTGATCACAGATAACAGTTTAGGCGGGCTAAGTATGCAAAGGGGGGATAATTTTCGGTAGAAAGAGCATGATAGCCATACGGCAATGATCGATTTATGGGCGCGAGATGACTATGGCAATGTGTCCTGGGTATATAACCGGCAATTTCATAGCATGAAGCCACACGCCTTCATCGCTAAAAACCACCCCCAGAATTGAGGTGAACAGATCCTACGCACAGAGTATTCGTGTACCCATCTGCTGCACTTCGTGGTGCATGCAGGGGCAAGCTTTTTCTTGGGGTCGACGAGACGCTCGCTTGGGTCCTTTGGTGGGATGTACTTGGGGTAATGCACCCCGAACTCTGCGTAAAATGGGAACGACATCTTAGGGAGCTTCAGAGAGTGAACTCTCAGCAACTCTGGCGGCAGGAGTTCTCTTAGTCGTGTTGCTGCTGCTCGTATTGCTGCTGCAGTCGCTGCCGCAGTTTGGCAGAGATGAAACAGGGTCTTGGACGTAATTTCAATAAAGAAGATTGTTGCTAAAATGTTTACGAAGGGTTGCTGTTTCGCTTCCGAAAGGGTACCACGCTGCTGCAGCCCCTGCTGCATGCTGCGGTTGTTGCATTAGTGTTACTGTAACAGAGGAAAGCCCCATATAGATGGCTGCGTAAATAAATGGCTCTATCATCTTTTTGAGTGCGACCTCGTTTCATTTTATATAATAAGGTCTACACTCTTATTATTGCTTAGGGGGGCATAGAGCGCCACTCCACTAGAGCACCCACCACCAGTTGGCATTTCGAGTTGCCGCGAAGGACTGTTTTTTTGTGCATTGGTAGAATTGTTTTCCGGTTTCTGATGCTTTTATTAGGCGATTTACATGCCGAATCCTTTCAGGTCGACTCACCCGCTTGTTTGGGTTAGATTTACCACCGGTGACCACACATACTTGCATCCTTCTTTCCGCCTGTCCATTGGCTCTTTTGTCTTTATAGGAGACTGCAGAGGCCCGCTACTGGCGTGGGATTCTTGCGCTTTCTTAGTCTAGTAGGGCTTGTCCCTCTCCGCAGTCGTACTCTCTTCACTCGCCTGTCGGATACACATTTTTTTCGGCACCATGGCGTGGATGATCCCCAACGAACTCTCCGACATTGTAACAACTAAAACATCGTTACCCACTCCGTCAACAGAGGACTGTTTCTACTGGCCGCAAGAGAAACAGTGGGTCCCCGAACGGCTCCTGAAGAAATTGAAACCTGCGGAGAGGAAGCAGTTGCAGGGCGCAAATGCCATGGTCCAGAAGGCCGCCTCTGGTGAATTCTTCCCCTCCTGTATCCTGTCTTCCACGGTGCCACAAACAAGCCCCTTGCTTCTTATATCATCTTCTCCCTTCTGAACGGTCTCCGCTAGTACTGTGTTTTGTGTCTCGTGTCGCTTCGTGGCCTCCTTACCTTCATGTGTGGCTTCTCCTCTCCTTCTCCTTCTCCGACCTTACCTCTCAGTGTCTCTGTACCTTTCTGATGCCGCTTGCCTGCCTCAGTTTAGCATGTATCGAAGATTCATCGCCGTGTCTGTCGAAATACGCACGTCTCGGCTTCGCTCCTTCGTGTCTTTTCCCTTCATCAATTACCTTGTATCTCAATTTATTTTGCCTCAGGTCAGAGCAAATGCCGCAAGTGTGGTGGTTCCATTGCCAAGGGGGAACTCCGCGTGGGCTATCCTACATCCGATCCCCGGGGGGCTTATGAGGTGCTTTGCTGCTGGTTGCACCTGGGCTGCAGCAGGGAGCTCTTTTCTCTTGTGTTGAACGAACAAGCAGAAGGCGATGTAATTGAGCGATTGAGGGAAGATCTCGTTACTTCTCTCTCGTGTCTGGAAGCAGTTGCTGCAGGGCCTGCAGAATCAGCTAACACACCCAAGGCTGAGACGCAGGCCGCAGATGCCCAGATTCCCCCCAAAGGCGAAGAAACTCCTCTGAAGAAAGAGCAACCATTACGCAGGACGTGGGTGTCTGGTGGTAATAATGTCGTGGCAAAGACAGAAGAAGATACTGACAACAACCGAGAGGCCCCCACCGTTGCGTCTACTGCAGCCTGCAAAAGCAGCGGCGCCTCTTTCGCCTCTGCCTCTTCTATCCCGTACGAGGGGTCTAGAGAATGTGGGGATTCAGCTGGCGCTGATGAATCAGGCTGCGCTGTGGAGGACAAGAAGGGAAGTGAAGCGCTGTCAACGCGAGACCGTCTGTTGCTAGAGAGAGCCGGCTGCATCGTCTCTGTTGACCGTTTATGTCTGATGGCTGAAGGCCTGTCACAAGCGGAGCAACTGGAGGTCCACAGAACCCTAGCTGCAGCGGCTCTCCGGTTGTTTTTCCCGGATGAGGTGCAGAAGGAGGCAGTAGCCAGCACAGAAGCAGCCGAAGAAATGCTCGAGGGGCTGACCAAGAGGGAAATAAAAGGACGTGTGGCGTCGCCCAAAGGGCTTCTGCTGCCGCTTCTTCCTTTTCAGGAAGAGGGCCTTTGGTGGCTAACGCAACAAGAGGCTTCTCACGTAAAGGGAGGCATATTAGCTGATGAGATGGGTGAGGAGAGATACCGGACATCTCACCTATACTGGAGACTCCGTTGTGCATCGGGGATGTCAGCCGGTGTTAAAATTGTTTTTCCTGGTTTGCGACGACGTGACTTCCTTCATTGTCTATTTGTCTCCACACTGTATCCCTAAATGCTTACGTTCTCCATCATCTCCTGGCTGCATGCTACCGCAACTTTGGATGGACATTGTAACTGCAAAACAGTCACAGGGTCTCTCCACGCAGTCGAGAGTGCAGACCCCTCTGCGACAGTAGGAACTGCGCAACACCTTTCTAGGAACATTTACATATGTATGCGCCACTTCGTGAATATCTGTTTTATCTCTGGAGGCCCAGGAGCTCAACTCTAAATAGACATTCTGGTATATATCGCTTCTGCGCAGGTGTTTGTTTTCTTCCCTATTCGCGGAGGGGAAGTCTTCCTACCATACGAAACTGTCGTGTCTGTGCTGGGTGGCTCAATATATGCTTGTGTCCATCTGTGTGCGTGCCTTTTGTAGGAATGGGGAAGACGATCCAGATCATATCTCTCCTGCTGTCCCGTCCACTTCCGGCACTTCCTGAATCTGTGCCCTCGTTGGTGCGGGCCTGCGTCTGCTCCACGTTGATCGTTACTCCACTAGCTGCATTGCTGCAGTGGAAGAGCGAACTCGACAGATTTGTGGCACCAGGGCGTCTCTCGGTGCTCATCTACCACGGTTCTCAGAGGCGGGCTCTCCACTCGGCACTTCATCAGTACGACGTCGTCTTGACAACGTATCAAACTATTGAACAGGACTTTCGCAAGCAAATAAACAAGCACAAAGTCGCATGCAAGGTATTGCTATTTATTTGACACCACGCTGGGCGGGACTCGCCTCAACATTTACCCGCTGTATGCATACATCAGCAGATATGTGCGTGTACCCATGCGTATATGAATGCAAGTGTGAATCTGCGCGTCGCCGTTTCCTTCTTGCGTCGTGTACCGTTGCCTACACCCATCTCCACTTGCGAAAATCATCTTGCTTGGCGGACTTCACTAGTGGGAGTCGCCTGCGGTGATGCCTTTCCCGTGTGGTATAACTTGTTCGTCCACCTGTTGGCATATTTAAGTACTACCCTAGTAAGCCTGTTTATATTGTATACTTATGCCTTCGCATAGGAACTGTTCTCACCGTCGGGCTGCACTGGGAACAGCTTTGCTTCCGTCATATTTTCTCTTGCCTTGCTTGCAGTACTGCGGGCGGCTCTTCATGCGGGACAAACTATTCGTTCATCAGAGGTATTTCTGTGGGCCTGAGGCCCAGCGCACCGCCAAACAGAGGCTGACTGAGCGCAAAATTGACGAAGGCACAAAACGGGCGATGGTTTCGCTGAACATCATCAAGGAAAATGAGGACCCAGTTGCAGCGCCTGCCACTGCAGGGAAGAAACGGAGCAGCAAGAAGAGTAAGAGCGCAGCGCCACAAGAACAAACAGAGCCTGCAGCTTTCGTACCCACGCCCGGCAACTGTTTAAAGGAGTTGCTCCAGCAGGCAAACATCAACCCCAACGAAGTCGGACCCCTGCCGTGGCTGGGTCCGCACGCCTACCGGAACGCGAAGGCTGCTGCAGATGCAGCTGAAGTTCCAACGGGAAAGAGACGAAAGACAGCCGCGGAGAGTAGCAGCAGTAGCTCCAGCAGCGGCGACAAGGGCAACAACGACGAGAGCAAAGGCATCGAGGGGGATGGTGGGCTAACCATGACCGAAGTCAGTCGCTTGAAAGTCGCAGAACTGAGGGAACTTATTAAGGCTCTTGGTGGGGCCGCAGCACCCCGGTCTACGAAGGCCCAGCTGCTGGAACAGCTGGAGCCTCTGCTTCAGCGGAGCGTGTCCAGAAGCGGAACTTCAAAGGCTGCAGAAGAGAGCGGCTCAACAGGAACAACTAGTGAGAATATTAGTTCGCGAGAGGCTCCAGAGTCCGGTGAAGGGGACAGGATCGATGGCGAGCAGCAGCAGCCACAGCAGCAGCAGCAGGTCGCCGCAAGGGAAGCAGGCCGGAGCAGCCAGCCAAAAGCTGGCAGAAAAGTAAGCTGCAAGAAGGCTCCGCAGCGGGAACTGTCCAGTGAGGGTGTGGAAGATGAGCAGCATACTGCTCGCTCATCCAGCAGCGACAGCAGCGCCGGCAACAGCGAAACAAAGGCACCAATCAAGGAGGCACAAGTTCGGCGTGGAGCGAATTCATCCGTCAAGCATGAGCCGGCAGAATTCGGTGATGAGAAAACCCACCAACAAGACAAACATTCGTCAGGCAGCAGCAGCAGTAGCAGCAGCAGCAAGAAGAATAAACCACCTTTTAAGTACGTCAAGCCAATAAAGCCGCAGCAGCAACGGTGCGAAGCGGCCGTATCAGAGGACGACGAACCTTTGTCTGTATCCAAAAAGAAGACCCTGAAAGCGAATAAAGTCAAGGGTACAGGAGTAAAGAAAAGCAGTAAGAACGGCGGCAAGAAGGGCTACGAGAGGGCCTCCCGGGGTTGTGCCCAACCAAAGATGCCAGTGAAGAAGGCGTCGGGAAAGGGCCCAGGGAGACGACGTCCAGCAGTCCGGCGACATGACAGCAGCGAAAGCGACTGGGAGAGCAGCAGCACGGAGTATGAGCCATCGGGTTCTTCATCAGAAAACGATTCTTCAGAGTCCTTTGTTGCGACGTCCTCAGATGAGGGGCCAGCTGGCACTGATTCCGAAGCATCGTCAGTCGTATCTGTCCTCTCCGCTGAGAGCACGAGACGGCGTGTCAGGACAAACCGTAGTGCAGGCCGAAATAGCACGGAACGGGTGAAAATGTCAACTCTTACCCCAGTAGATGCGTTGCTGTGGGGCAAGGCATTGGGCGACACAGAATCTGAAGACGGAGAGGAAGGTGGGCAGGTAAAAGAAAAACTGGAGGAAGACCCCGAGCTTGTAGAGTCCCTCCGGCAGTCTCCTCTTCATGGGGTTGTGTGGCAGAGAATTGTGCTGGACGAAGCTCACCGGATAAAGTCAAGGAACAGCAGCACCGCTCAAGCCATATTTGCCCTGCGCAGCGCCACAATCAGGATTCCAGGATGCCAGGGGCAGCTAAAACAGCGAGATCAGGTGACCGACCAGCAGGTAAAAGAGGGAGATACAAAAGGCTCTTGTGATAGCGATACTGCGGTGCAGCAGTCTGTCACTGAGGGCGATGACGAGGGAGTTAAGACGAATAGCAGCAACCGCGAGGTCGAAGATCAGGGTGGCAAGAAAGAAAAGCTGCAACGCCAGAACAAGCAACAACAGCAGCGAGTTCGGGAGGGAAAACAAGATAGGGATGTGGAACCGGAGCAACAGGAAGGGACAGCCAAAGCTGCTGGGTCTTCCAGACGTGCGGGAAGTACACTTCGCGGCAGCTTCAGTGGGAGCAGTAGTGGCAACGATAACGAAGAAGAGAGTACTGTTGCTACCTGTGATGGGGAAAGAAAAAAACCGGAATTTTCGATTGTTGTGGGAGGCAGCAGGTGGTGTCTGACAGGTACACCGCTTCAAAACAGAATTGGGGAGTTGTACAGTCTTGTACGTTTCCTGCGGTTTTACCCCTACGCATATTACTTCTGTTCGAAGAAGGGCTGCACCTGCAGATCAATGCACTACCGTTTTGCGGATGGGAAGTAAGGATGCGAAAGGCACGACAGCAATTGCTGGAACTGCTGCCGACACTGCATTTTTAGTGTTCCAGACAAGTGTAGTAGGATGACACGAACAACAGAGGCCGACGTTTTATGCAGTGCCGGTGGAAAGAAAGCCACTAAAAACACTAAAGTTTCCGTGCTTGCTTGCGTTGTTTGCGACTGCTGCTGTTGTTGCTGGCAGGTATTGCGACAAGTGTTCTCATACGCGGATGACGCACTATTCGTTCTTCTGCCGCCGCGTTGTGAAGCCAATCAAAGAGTTTGGCTATCAGGGGGAGGGTATTGTAGCCCTAGAGACTTTGAAAAGGGAGGTAAGGCTCCGTATGAAATCTGTTACTCTCTTTCGCCAGCCGCTTACATTCGGATCCCTAAATGCAACGGTGGTGCACATCATCATGGCATGATGGCTCTGTGCCTGTGTTTCTCACGTGTAGGTGCTAGATGTTTGTTTGCTCCGGCGCACAAAAGTCGAGAGGGCAGCTGACGTTAAACTGCCTCCTCTCGTTGTGTCCATAAGGAGAGACGCGTTAAGCCCACAGGAAAGAGACTTCTACGAGTCCCTTTTCAAGCAGACGGCCATTCAATTCGTGAGGATATGGCCCCCACAGTTTCGGTGTACCTGGCGCTGCTGAATCGCTGCGCTTGTTGTTCATAATAGTGGTTACAGTGCCACTATCTGGTGTTCTGCAATCTGTCAATGTCCCACTCCCATTACCTTTCCCACTCCCGCGTAGAAGCGCCGCTTCTGCGTGGGTGTCCCGCTTGTTGAGCAGGCTTACTGCTTCCACTGTGCTTGCCAATGAAGACATGTTTCGTGCAGTTAGCAGCATCATATTCTTCAGCTGTTTCCTGTGTCTGTCGGCTGTTTGCTGTAGGACTCGTATGTGAAGAGTGGCACCGTTCTCCACAACTTCGCGCACATTTTTGACTTGTTATCGAGACTTCGCCAAGCAGTGGACCACCCCTATCTTCTCATTCACGGGTCTCTTCAGTCCAAAGAGGGTTGTGTGCCCTTACCTACTGATTCACGGAACCCACAGCAAACTGGTGTCTGCACCATTTGCCAGGAAGACATGGATCCCATCGTATGTAGATGCTGATAATGCCGTGTCCACCGCACATGCTGTTCCTATTGTCCAGCCTGGAGAAGTGCATGTTGCGAGTGCAGCCGGCTTGTGATGTTGCAGTTTCTGTGATGTCGCGCCATGTCTTGCTTGTGCTCGGCTGTTCGTAAGCTCATTATCGTTGCATGGCGCTAGAACCTAAAGCTGAAGGGGACATCTTCGGCTTTCCTACGAACGCCCTCAGTTGTCTCTCTTCTTGGAAAATTGTGCGCGCCTAGGGCGTTTGACACTGCAGGGCTCTAACGTGCTTTCTCTTTGCACTTCTTTTGCGATCAGGACATGGCCCAAGCGAAGTGCGGGCATGCATTCCACCGCCTCTGCGTTCAAGAGTACATCGAGTCTGCTCCAGCTGCAGCAGCAGGTCAGCAGCAACCTCCAGCCGCTGCAGCGGCACTAGGTTGCCCGGCTTGCTTCGTTCCCCTTACTATAGACTTGTCGAAGGTAAACGGAGGCGAGTCGTTGGAAGAAATCCCAGCAGGAAGTAAAGCGAACGCAAAGGCTGGCAGGGGGAGGAAACGAAAGCAGCAACGCGAGGAAGGAGAGGGACTATCGGAAAATGAACAGGATGCGGCTGAGCTGGACACCGTTTCTGAGGTACCAAACAAATACGAGTTTTGTGTGCATTCGCCTAAAGTTAAATATATCTTCGTGTGACATCGTCTCACCTGTCGTAGGTGTTTGCGTTACTACTGCGAGATTGCCGTGCCATCCCGATTGACTGTGTGGTACAGGATGAAGCAGAACTATTAGCTTCCGGTGATGCAGGATTGGTTGCCAACTCAGCTGCTTCAACGAAGAGCACCGGAAGGCGGGGAGGGATCATGAAAAAGATTAGCGCTAGCAACTTCACAAGCAGCACTAAGATTGAGGCTCTCGTTCAAGTGCGGAATATCAATTTTTGCTGACAGCATCGCTCTGCACTTTGCGCACGCTCTAAGTGGTTCGGGTTTCATTCAAAAGTAGTATGTTCAGTGCTGACTTGCTCGACCGCGCGAAGGCGTGTGTTGATAAGAGGTCGCAAATATGCTGTCTGGCCTCCGCAGGAACTGAACATGGAATCGGAGCAAGACGCCCAAGTCAAGAGTATCGTGTTTTCGCAGTTCTGTGCTATGTTGGACCTCATCGAGTTCCGACTGAAGAGAGAAGGGATACAATGCGCCCAACTTACGGGGTCCATGACTGCCGTTGCGAGGTACCAGTTGCTACTCCTCTGTGCACTCCGTAGCGCTTCCCGCCCTCTCTATCTGACACGTTTCCTTCCCCTTTCCTCCAGACAAAATGCTGCCGGTGTTCACATCTTGCTCTGGGTCGAACACTGCATAAAATTCCGTTTGCCCACCATAGGTGGATTGATGAGAGACGGCGAGAGACGGTTGCTGATGTTTGCGTGCACGTGCAGGAGCAACGTGCTGTATGCATTCAACAACGATCCCAACTTGCGGGTGATTCTCATCAGCTTAAAGGCTGGCGGCGAGGGGTTGAATTTGCAAGTTGCCAGTAGAATATATTTGATGGATCCTTGGTGGAACCCTGCTGCTGAGATGCAAGCCATCCAGAGGGCCCACAGAATAGGTCAGACTAAGCCGGTAAAGGGTGTGAGATTTATATGTAGCGACACAATTGAAGAGAGAATCCTTCAGCTGCAAGAAAAGAAACAACTTGTGTTCGACGGTACTGTAGGCGCGTCTAATCAGGCGATGCATAAGCTGACCCAAGAAGATCTTCGTTTTCTCTTCCAGTCGTAGAGAAGAGGTAGCGCGAGCAACGGGGTTGAGCCTAATTCGCAGTGTGCTAAATGCCACATCAAGCAAATGCGCGGGCCTTTTTTTTCGTCTGCATCGATGATGCTTTGCTGCGTTTTTGCAAGTCTTTCTCTATGGGGGCTCAACTCGCATTTTTTTCACACTCACGTTAGATGCATGCAATGAAATAAACCCGGCAGCACTGGAACTTTCGCTCTACTCCATTCACAGGGTGCCGCGGTGTAAAGCCTTTCAGGAGAGGGCGACGATGCCCCATCTTCATCCCCTGTAGGGCTTTGTTGGGAGGCATTCAGGAGGAATTGCAAGGATACATTATACGCAGAGTAACGGGCGCACGGCGTCGCAATGCTAGTCGCAGGGATCCGGCACTGTTTCGCTCCCTGTCTCTCAGTACGAATGCAGAACGAGACGTCCACTTTTTTCTCCACGTCATAGATCACATTTCGACCTTATTATTGAATGGGACTTTGCTTTGGGTGTCGCACCATCTCGCAAGTAGGCAAGCGTTGCTTTTTCGTCTGCAATAGCCTACGATTCAGGATGAATATCCAAGAGTCTCACAATTTATTGTCGGGACGTGTTTGCATGGTGGCGGCTGTATTTCTCCTCTTGTACAGCTATAGTTCGTCACCGTTTGGCTTCCTTGAAACCTTATAGTTCTTGCCCCGCTACTCAGTGCCGCCGCCGCTATTGTGGCAATTTTGCAAGCTACCCCGCGTGCACAGACAGGGCTCGAGGTAGTTGCTCCATTTACCACTGACTATACTTGCTACGGACGATATTCCCCTAGGCCTGACGTGGGCACATCAACTTGCACCCTGTGTCTGTTAGCGAGCTATTTTTGCTTTAACAGTTCCACGGTTCCTTTCGTTGGGCGTCCCTCATCAGTATCCCATCCTTGGGTCTGGACTGAGGTGTACCTCCCCATTGCTGTATCTCACGTAATCTGCCTCTTAACCGTGTCTGTAGGTTCCTGTTTGCGCTCCCGACACCTTTCCACCGGACCAGTCATTTGGCCAACTTGTAGTGGAACGCAGCAACGTAGTTGAAAAGGAGCTGCACACCCAAACAGCTACTCCCGTCCCTTGTACCCCTCCTTGAAGAGAATCCGCACCGCCACCAAAACATTCTAGACCGAATGTGTCTTTCCATATGAATGACGCACAGAAGCCAACTAACATATTTAATGCCGTGGAAACGTCCGGAGAAACTCCACCTCGTGGCAGGGTCGATCAGATACAGGTGCAAGCATCCAGATTCGTGTGCACCGAAAGGCTGTCGACCAAGCGACTCCAGACTTAATGCACATGGCGAAGGCACAGGGCATGGGATACGCTCGTCTGCTATTGCTGTTGATGTCGTGCAGCAGAAAGTGCTCCAATTCAAGCAAGCCCGACTTCACCCCCCAACAGCCCCTTAAGCCCGTGTTGTTGTGCTAAGGATGCTGCGAGACAGAATACACTGCCATCTGCTTTGAGAGCAACTATCAGCATGAGTCTTTCTACTGTAATGTAACTCATTCCAACCCTAGACTGATCTAATGTACCACACACGATGTTGAGTTCGTAACCCGTGAAGCACGGGACTGCAAAGCCAGCCCTAAATGATCAATAACCTATTGATTACACCATAAGAACCGAATATTTCGAGACATAAACGTCAACGAGAGCCTCTGTTGCACACATAGTTGCGTAAGGATCTGCAGAGAGGCCGACCGACGAGGCGTTCAAGTGTTGGGAGCCCGACTCGCTAGACGACCATCCATCCATTAAAATCCTAAGCAAAGTTCCTTATTGAACTTGCTTTCACTCTTGCGCGTTATTTTTCAGGAAAGCTGTTAACTGTAATGCGGCAGCTGTAGCATCATCCAGAAAGTGACGTTCGAAACCATCAAGCCCGGAACGTTAACGTGGACGCACACGGAACTGCAGGCTCAAGCAACACCGAATACAATAGCGGTATATTGTGGTTGGATAAGGTATATATGATAACTGCGGGAACTAATATCAACACTTGACTACAGTGCTACTGGGCAGAGGAGGGAAGGCACTCTGCAACAGCTTCCGTCGCATGCGCCAGGTGTTCGTGTCGAGCTTGCGTGGAGCGGTGGACCTTGTTTCTTCGTCGGCTCATTTCCAATGAATGTTCTAAGTGTCTCTTACAGTTGTATTGTTGTAGACTGTCACCAAGTGCACCATAACTCTCCCTGAATGCGGTGCTTGCGCGCCTTTTGTTCTCCCATCCGACCTCACTGATAAATTGCTGTCTTTTGCTACCAAGACAGCAGACCAAGATGAGTAACCCTTCACCCCAGGGAGCTGATGCAGCGGCATCACCAGCAGGAGCGGCTTCTAGCAGTGGAGGCACTAACGTGACCGAGCAGGAGGCGACAACTTCATCAGCACAGAGGAAACCTACACAGGGATCGCAGAATGGTGCTGCAGGAAACGCACTCCCCCCAGCATCAGCTGCATCTGTATCTTCATCTGCAGGCAGCGGCTCGATTGCGCGTAAGAGGTTGGCGCAAGAAAGGGCAGCTTGGCGGAGAGATCACCCAGCGGGCTTCTCTGCTAAGTACGCCCCGATGGCCGATGGATCTGTTGGGCAGGATATCATGAAGTGGATCTGCAAAGTCCCAGGAAAGAAGGTCAGCTGCTGAGAAACTGGTTATATATATATATATATATATATATATATATATATATATATATATATATATATATATATATATATATATATGCTGCGAAGTGCAGCTATGGGACAGATAGCGGGGGAGGTGTTGCTCATATGGGGGGAAGGCCCTTCAAGAAGAACAGCCGCTGACCCAGGAATGGGAAGAGGCTGCGAGGGGCGTTAAAATATTGCGGTCGTTGAATGGATTTACATACGAGTAGCATGGAGGCAGCGGTTGTCTTGTGCGCAGTTCGCATATTACTGCATACTCTGGACCAGTTTATCGATATTTGTGTTTTCCGATCGCAGGGCAGTCTGTGGGAAGGAGGTGAATATTGTCTTACAATGGAGTTTCCAGAAGAATATCCTAGCAAGCCACCGAAGTGCAAGTTCAACCCGGTCCTGTTTCACCCAAATGTTTACCCCTCAGGGACAGTTTGCCTCTCGATTCTGAACGAAGATGAAGACTGGAAGCCGTCAATCACGATCAAACAGATCCTTCTTGGCATCCAGGTACCCTTTCTCTGTCTTCATTCTATTTTATATTTCGTGTCCTCTCTAGGCATCAACGATTAGCGGAACCGTGCAGTTGTAGCCTCTGATTAACACATTACACAATGTGAGGGGAGCGTTACATTTTCAGGATCTGCTGGACAATCCAAATCCTCAATCTCCTGCGCAAGCTGAACCTTACATGCTCTACTGCCAAAATCGGGATGAATATAACAGGAGGGTAAAAAACCAGGCAATACAAATGAGGCCCAAGGACTAAGCAAACAGTTGTTTCATACATAGTTGCTTTCTGGGTAGAGGAAGGTCGGCCCATCGGTCACGAATCCCTTGTGAAATATGTCAAATGATGCAATGATAATCCCAGGAGGTGTTGGTGGTCTGAAGTTAGCTCCTGCGTGAACCAATAGCAACGGTCCGTGACATGGCGCGCCGGCTGCAAACGGGCATTCGCTGCTTAATCTCCGTCAGCATCTTCCATCACGAAACGAGAGGAATCCGCGTTTCCGTAGAGACAAAAACATTATTTCTCAGTTTCGTCCAGATGTTGGCGTACGCCTCCGGTGGCAGCAGGAGATTCGAAGAGATGAGGAGGCTGGTGTGGAGCCTTCCCCCGGTTTCTTCGTCTAGCGGAGCTAGCCCAGTTGAATTATATTCATTGCAGATGCTCTCAGTCTGCATCCGCACTGCATGTGGAAACGAAGAGTTCTGCAAATGGGCGAAAAATGGTATTTTGGTTGCCGAGTTGTGGCAGCCCTCCTTGGGTATGCACCTGGGGACACGACACCAGCAGCGTGCCCAAGGCTGAATGGATTTGCGGTTAGCTTGAGCACGCAAAGTGCACTGGGGCAGGGGGTATGGAGAGGAGCACCAGCTAGGCGGAGACGCCAGGTAAACACCTGTGCAGGAGGATGATTGAGTCTGGGGTGCAGACTGCTTGGCGTGCTTACCCCTCAGAACTCGCGGATGGTGGATTCTGCATCCCTTTTGGGGACTGCAAGATTGCGTGGGGACGTGAGAAAATTCCGAATAATCAGAAAACGTGAGAACTACCTTAATGGCATGTATACATGGTTCCTGTGAGTGTGGAGGTCATTGTTAGTATGATTGCTTGGATGGGGTGCAAAGAATGACCTTCTAAACGCACGCATGAACCTTTTCATGGTAGCCCTCTGGCAGATGCACTTACCTAGCTTAAGCCACACGGTACGTGGGGGTTACTTCACTATAATTCTAAACAGTGTTGGGGAGGAGAGAGTTGAGGGAGCCTGCAATTCCTGCCTTACCTGACAAGCGGGACCGGGAAGCGGCAGATCTCGCCGTAGCGAAAACATCCACAGCAGACGTACTGAGCTGCTGACGAATTTATTCGTCCGTTCTTTTGTAGCTTAGCAGGCGAACTCAGCGCATATATGTATCATTTGCGTATATTCGTCTCTCGGTTCCTCATGAATTGTAGATGACATTTCCTATTCACATTTTTTCTACATGTTCGTTTATTGGGATTTTGGCTTGGTGCATTCATCCATATTCATTACAGCCTTCTGAAGTGGGATACATTAGAATATTTTGTCCGGACTGCTTTGAGTAGATTGCCTAGGGAATTTACACTTCCCCGTAGCACTCACGTTGATTTCCAGTATTGTACCCTCTTGTGCGCTCAGTGTGCTTAGCTTAGCCTCGTGGCTTAGTCTCTTTACGCGCAACCTTACTACAGATAACGCCGTTTTCCATATGAAACAACAGTTTGGATTATCTTGAACCAGAAATTCATTTCCCGTCTCCCGGGACGGATTTCACTGGAATATGCAGGGTGTCGCCCGTAGATTGTGCATTCGGGGTGGATGGTGCCCCCCGCTTCATATGCACTAACTAAATGTGTACCCCGCATCCCCCAGAGCCAAACTGCGCCTCAAATATGGGGCCCGAGGCATTCTGCCTGTCTTCATTGTAGTATGAAACTTTCATTTCGGATTGGGAGTAATCCCAGTAACGTAGGGCTAGTATCTGGTGGGCACATTTGTTGATGTAATGATCATATTCAATGCTTTTAGCGCTTGCAAACGTAAATTTGGAGCAGTATTGCCGAGCCGAGAACTAAGACGGCACCCGACAGTAAACCACTGAATATTCAGCAGTTCAGTCGTTTATCTTCCACATTTAGACATCAAATAGTTCGTAAAATAAAAGTACATTAATAATGCGGCCGGTATTTTCTATTTCAAAGCAACCGTCAATATGCGGTGATGCTTGCAAAGCTATGCACAAACCTGCCAGCGAGGGGGCCAGGCAAGCCTTACAACCAGCAATGACCACAAAAGGCTGCAGGCCAATTGTGAAACACCCCATTCAATATTCTTAACTGTTTAATTTCGGAGTCTTTAAGTGAATCGAAACAGCAGCACAGCACAGTCAATGCTGCTGGTGTTACCAGCGGACCACCGGGGGCCGATTCATGGTCACCACATGCATTGCTGGGAAACATCTTCAAGGCGTACAATTGATTTCAGCGGTTGTGAGTATATAAATTGTGCAATTGATGAATGATCCTAGGATAATGCGTTTCACGTTAGCATTTCCCATCCAGGGTGCTTTTCGGGATAGGCAAAGTGGGTTCGTGAAAAACTAGACGGACTCGTTGGCTATTCTGTTCTCCTCTTCTATGGGCAGTTTATGCATGCTTAGCTGCTGTGCTGCTCTCCTCATCCGTTTATTGCTAATAATACATTGTCGTAGGCTGCTTGCCCCCTGCGTCCACTCTGCGAGCCGTCACCCCTCCTTAACACCTTCCAGATGCGCACTTCTTGTTTGGATTTGATGCGCGATCTTTCCTGTAGTACTCAGAGGCAACAATACTTATCTATTTCTGCTGGGAATTATGTTTCATGACGCTTAAACGGAGATGCAGTGGACCCGTTCGACGTGTCAACGCCGCGTACCTTCGTCCCATCCTACTGAGTTCCGGCATGTTTACAGCGTCTAATACGGCTCATCGGACGGACTATATGTTTGGAATGAGATATGAAGGCCCCAAGGTGGTGACTCAGACTGGCATCATTGTGAAGCCGCTGGAGAAAGGGGACAAGACCCCTACTGGCTGTATCTGCTTGTGGGAGAAGTAGTAGTATCCTGTGAACCCTGGCTGGCCCTCCTTTCCGTTCCTAGTTATGTATATAGCACAGTACATATGCTCACGTGTGGTCCTAGGGAGCTGAAGGCCCCTGGGGGAGATACTATCACGAATCCCAAAGCTGGCCTGGTGTGTTCGCTCCACCGCCACTTGTCGTCCTCTTTACTTCACCCGTCATGCATCCCTAGAACTCCTTCTGGTGCACGGCGAGCTAAGGAAAATTCGGCCTAAAAGACAGTTGAGGGGAACAGTCTGATACTTCTCGAGACCGAGTCCAACGGAGAGCGAGGAAAGCCCAGCATTAAGTTGAGTACTCGGCATTCTAACAGAGATTCAGGAACGTACAGCAACTGCTGGCGTGTGAACAGAACCGGCAAGTAAGCAGATACAAGAGTGCCTTAACCCCTCCCATGTCTATAGCTTCAAGTGATCTGGAAGTTCCTCCTAGCCCCGCAAAAGCAGCGAATGAAGTTCCTTCATTCATCAGCACTTTGCTCGGTGACAGGATGCGCAAAGATTACGTGCAAGGCAGTCCTACTTTGTTTCCAACTACAGGTAAGCATCTAAAACCCACTTTCGGCTGTGGTGTCACAGATAAGAGGTGAACTCTGTCTATCAATGCCAGAGGAGAATCACATCTGGCTTGTTTGCCTCTTGGCTACTGCGCGAGAGGCTCTGTGAAGGTTTAAATGTCTTACGGGTTTTGTATTGTCACTTTCTCTTTGTAGGTTGGAACTCACTAGGAGGCGTACATTCGCTTATATATTCATACAGATATGCAAGGGCCAGTATATCTCGACTTCTCACGTTATATATAACAGGGCCATCCCCAAAGGTAGTCAACGATTGTTCTGCAAAAGAAGGCGGAAGGCGATACTCGCCATATGCAGAATGTATCTCATCTTTTTGGAATTCAATTTTTGAGCTCCTTCTCGCCCCTAATGCTATTGGACAGCGGACTGCCTCACCTTGGCTGCATGGGTGCTGCTGCTGCTGGGAAAAAGAACTGCAACTGGGCCCAGAGGAGCATGAATGTACAGAAGATGAGAAAGAGGCTTTTCGGGGAAGAGCAGACATTCCTGCCCTTCGCCTAGCTCCAACGAAGCCCTGCCCTGCAGATGCTTCCCTGGTGAGTGGAGAATCAGCCTTCACGAGAAAGCATCCCAGATAAGAACAATCATCACACAGCGAATTGAGGAGCACGAGCGCACGCCATCCTCCCTCTGTCCCGCTTCGCCCCGGCAAGAATTGAAGAAGCAACAGTTGTCGCCTCACCGCTTTTCGATGCAGGAAGCGGAGCGGCTGCCACAAAAGAATGAACTCTTCTTTGGGTGTGCTCCACGGGCCTTCTCAAGTAGCTTTTGTGAGTTGATGCTTAATTCCTGTATGGGGTATCCAACACCTTTGGATCACGAGGAAACCGAAGAGTCAGCAGAGTTGCAAGAAGGTGACGGAGCTGCAGGTTTGAAGTCTTGCCAAAGAATGCTGTGGAGCGAGACCAACTTACAGCTCGCCTGCGGCACCCGCTGCCGCAGATTGAGAAGAGTGAAGGATGAGGCCCGTCAGGTCTGGATGGAGTATCAGGAGGTAACGCTACTAGACAACTCCAGACGGTTCCAGTGGGTAAGCAACTTGCCCTTCTTTTTGCCTTATGTTGTATCTCCATTTGCTGCAATAAGAAGCGGAGGCAGGAGCGAAGCGGAAACAGGAGCCCCCAGTGGCTCTTTTCCCATGAAATGGGAACCTACTCTGATTGGCGCTAAATTGTCTCTGGATATTTGCATACGGGCGCCTCAGGTGGAGTTGGCGGACAACGGTATTTCTGCTGTGGAGTGATAGGGATATCGTAGGGAAGACGCCTTGTAAGCAGTGCATTAAGGGATAAGGCAGGGTCTGGAAAGGCCAATCACGACCCAACGGAGTCTTCGTGCAAGTTCATCAGCTGTTCTTGCCCTGGCCATGCATCTGCAGATAGCTCAGCCACGGCAGGGCGGGAACCCGACAGTTTCCTGCCGTAAGCCCCCTATCTGGGCAGGCCAACTGGTTATATCGAAGCCCCACATCAGTGTGCAGAACACAAAGGGGCTTCTGCTCTCTTTGTGTGTATTGAACTACGCCAGTCGTGCCCAACAGATGAATTGTTGCTACTAGTGTTGCTACTACTACACATCTGTATCCGCGAACGTAGGGAACTCCTACTTGCCTTGTGGGTCAAATAACTCCACACGGGATATTGGACAGCACAGCTGTCAATAACAAAGTCGACGGCAGTCATCACACAACAGTACTTCTATGTGTTGAACTATATATTGTTATACAGGTGTTCTTGCAACAAAACAGCACCAACCGACCCTCGCTTAAGATTGGAATTCAAACAGCGGCCTGTATGACGGCTATAAACGCCAACTCTTATGGGATTTGCCAAAAAATGTTCGAGTTGTTGCGTTTACGTCCTAGCCACTGGAGTTAGATGATGCTTAAGCTGCTGGGGCAGCGGCCATCTAACCGAAGTTAAAAATATGCTTGCTAACAACGACGAGAAGTTAGGCCTCTGTTGGCCTAGGTTGCAAAACTATATAAGCCTAGGCGGCAATCTTTCCTTCGAAGTTGCGCATTTACTATGCCTTGTCAGGGAAATTGCACTGAGACTCCTCCAGTAGAGCTTTCAGTCGGGCAATCACTGGCCTGGAGAGCAAACGCACCGCAGTACCAAGCATGCTACCGCCAAATGTATTGGCATTTCTTGGGTGGCCGGAGTCCTTCAAGCCTGGAGAGAAGCTGAGGGTGCAGCGCAAATGCGATTCTTCTGTACAGATCGGGAGGGGATTATGTCCCATACGTACAGAATTTCCTCCTGGATACTGGCTAGGCACTTCTCTGCTTCGGACATGTCGAAGCCCAGACGACTGTTCACAAGCAACATAAAAAGTGCGTGTTCTCCACAATTATCGAAGAAAGTCCCTCATCTCTTCAATACCGGACTATCTGTCTAGGTTACGCATGCACCAGCTTCGAAAACAAATGCCAATCTGCTGACGATATTCACATCCTGCACTGCGTTAAATCGTAAACTGAAGGCTTGCAGATAGTTACCTGACAAATTCCTCTTTCGACGGGGCGAGACTGAAGGCTAGGGAGACGACGTTCGACACCAGAAAGCCTGTGTTCAGAAATTTAAAATGGACATTTGAGTCCTTTTGTCATCCTGGAACACAAATTCAGCCACTGTGGCGCGGTTCAACACCACCTCGAAATTCAACCTTCAGCAATGCGCAGATATCTGTGCGCCTCTTGATTTGTCCGATTCTGCTTACTGTGATAGGGCTTCAGAATGCGATCGTAGGCATCTAATGCGCATTCTTTGGCCGTAGCACTCTGCATGGTCCCGAACATGTTGCAAATAAGAGTGAAGACGAAGTCTAGCGCTCGCTGCATCCACAGCATTCCCCTTACGCCGCTCTTTTGGTCCTTCCGCATTCGAGGGATTCCAAGATGAGTTAGCTCCCACGCAATCAAATCGTCAGCCGTCACTGGGCCCCCACCTCGACTCTCACTCAGCGCCTTTGCTGCTTCCCTCATCCGCCCAGAGGAATTCGCGATATCTTGCTGCACCGCACACATTCAAACAAGACAATACACAAACGAGCATCATCGTTGAAAGCACGGGCTGCTGTCCGCCGTGATAAAGAGCCACCGCGCCCCCCGACCAATCAATTGCTCCTTCAAATGTTTCGAGAGAAGAAGAATCACAGAGAATACTGAAGCTGCGTCTCCTGGCCAGCTAGCATGTAGGAAACTGTGCCTTCATGAAAATATCCGTACCTTCAGGTGGCGAGAAATGAACCCCTTTCCGAAGACCAGTTCGTACACAACAGATATTTGCATCGCCGCATCGGCAAGTTTCTCTGCAGGGAACACTCAAAGTACTTGGGAATGAGGGTCTGATGAACATCGATAAAGTGGGTCTGTTCTCCTAAGCATGTAAATAAATACAACAGCATTACGCTGGTGTTTTTATGGATGGAGAACTGAAAAGCTGTTGTGACAGCTGTCATGGAAGGACCTGCAAATCGTTTGGTCCACAGGCAGGGTCGGATACAGTAGCTAGGAATGTACCGCAAGACCTCTAAACACCAATGTGGAGACCATTCAATATTTAGAAGTCAGTAACCCAGAAGCCCCTTCTATAGGAGCGTAGCGTTCTTAGAAGGAGCTTCAGGGTTACACCAAACTTCGCTAAAAGCTCTACAATTCGTCTTTCCACCTTGACCAACTCACCGCAGTCCAACTTCCCTTCGGCGTCTGGCACAGCGCGGAACTTGTCTAAGAGCGCATGATACAGGGCGGGGCCCTTCAGAGGTTCCTCCTGCACGTCCGACATTCCGGCTATAGCTGAAGGGCCCTTTAAAACCACTTCTTGAGATATTGTTGATGTGTGAGCGAACTGTGTTGTACCGTGCCGTTAGGAGGAGATCAGCTCGGTTGTCTTGCCGACGAATCTCCAGCGCTATGGAGCAGTGAGCGGTCTTGAGTGCTCAGCGGGCTTCGACAGGCGGTGGTTGGCGACAGCTGACGTCCTGAGTCAGTTACTTTCCAATAGACGGGTTGAAATAGCCGGCTGGAAGGAGTCATTTACATCGATCTACGTTGAGCTGAGCTGTGACTGCGTTTCGCTGGTCCTCCTGACTCAGCGCTACTTCTGTGGTGCCAAGCGCGCTGAGCCACTCGGAATGCGTTTACACAGAACTGTGGGGGATTCCCGAACGTGGATCGAGCTGCATTAAATACTTCGTGGTCTCAATAAGTCTCAGCCTGGCTGAAGAAACCAACTGGGACTGTTGGGGCTGTAGTGTCACCACCTGATGCGGGGGTATGCGCTCCGGGGATTGCCTTCGTCAGCTATTCAGACAGCAATTGACTTGCCTCTTAGTTGTTCTGGAACACCTTTTTTTAATTTGCTGGAATACGTCTTACTGGGTCACTACGGTGGCCTGGCTCTGCTGAAGTACTAAAATGAACCCCCCGAATCTGGCGGCAGTGGTTGACAGGTGCTCAGTGTGACACCAGCCCTATCCAGTTTGCTATATTAAGCCCCTACACCGGCTTATTCGTAGTTAGGGTGACATTTACTTATACTTTCAAGCATGTCTTCGGTGTGTCGACACCACATAACGCTTCCAAAGACAAGAGTGCAAGGGCTAGCTGCCCAGCGCAGACGACACACACAGTTGCGGCGTCCGGCTGCGTCCGCTCATCTCTGAAACAACGGACCAGAGACAATAAGGAAATATACGTGTTGAGGACGAAGTAACGTCGGAAAAAAAGTAAAAAAAAAAGTCAATAACGCCCGCACACTCGGCCCCAAATACAAAGACAACATCCAAATGGAACATGCTTAGGCACACAGTGTTCGGCATTGTCCACCCTCCTCCACGCATCATTCTGCGACCCTGTGGAAACAGAGGCTTCGGCTGTCTTACCACTGGCATCAGTAGCTAAAGGGAAGGAGGAATACTCCCTGTGGAAAAGGAATACTGCAGAAGCGCTACCGCCCCGCTCGGCTGGCCGACACCCAGCGCCGCTGGGGTTCAGGAAGTGTTGATTATGTGTAGCTCGCAGTGCAGCTTAAGCGCACAATCACACAGCGATCCGACCCCCCATATGCGTGACGGCAGCGGGTTAAGAGCTGTCGCGACATCTGTGGAAGTAGACGTTGGTTTGCGTTTTCCGTTCGTCCTCATGCCAGACTGACGGCACTCACGATTGCTCCCTGGAGAATGAAGGGGTGGATTCCACGGGATCATCGTATAACCCGCTAGAGATACAGTCAGTAGTTATGGCACTGCGCAATAAGAACGACCTATGGTAGTGTATGGCCGTCCCCACCCCTCCCTGAAGAAGTGAGTTCTAGGCCTGCGGAAACCATCCGCATGCCGTTGTTTGAACAGCTGGATCGGCAGCAATTGCTTCGGTCCCCCGTGATCTGCTCGTTCGATATAGCACTCCGTACTTCTAAACAATGGATATAAGGACTCAGGTTCAACGACTGGTAGGTATAACGATCAGATACAATAATTGCCGAAAAGCCACAGATATGTGTAGGATTTCCCCTTTTTCATCAAGTTGAGCGCCTCGACAAATGACCCCAGATCCATCCCACCGCTTCTTCAGTGACATTTTACTTGATTTGAGACCGCTGGTCTACAAGAAGGTGAAGCAAACAAGTAGAAGGCTCTCACTGGACTGGATGAGGACGTTCTGTTTTTGGGACAACAGCAATGCATAAGTGAGGTGGATGCAAAAATAAGGGGAGACACCAGACGCTCACCGTTGACCGCTGACCTCCTTGTACGTAGGGGGAGGATACCCGCAAAACCACGATGGTTTACTAAAAACAGATAATAGTGGCAATGCCGCTCTATTCAGGCTATCATACCGCAACGTATCCGGGCTTCCCACATACAGTCGAGTAAGGCTTACACGCACCGGAGTGTCCACGAACGACTGGCTCTTCGCTGCTTATATTTGCTCTGCTGCAGGAGGGGTCGAGGTGAGGAGCCACGCAGCAAGTGCAGGACTGGCCCTTATGGCAGCCACAGCTGAAGTCGTCACCGCATTCGCAGCCACTGTTCACTTTCTTGGGTTGAAGGGAAAAATCGAGGTAGCCTCCAATTGTAAGAAAACCCAAAGCCATTCCTCCCAGCATTGAGAGGAATATCCCTACGTTGAAAGTCATTGCCACAAGCATCAACATGTAATCCCAAGAGTAATTCAGGAAGGCGACCGATCCACGTATGGCATTGTGGTACACCGGAAAGGAGCCAAACATCAGTGTCGGTTTGCCTTCCTTCTCGGCCACCTTCAGACGCACTTCTGACACGCGGCGCAGCACCTTGAGTGCAATTGAAATAAATCCAAACACAATGCAACACAGACAGCAGACGACGTACTGGGCAGTCGTCCGCGCGTTCCACCAAGAAAAGAGGAACAAAACCTCTGACGAGGCTTCAAACCACATGGGTAGGGGGAGGCCATCTTTGTTCAACATGGCTGAAACTACCGACGCAAGGAGGTGAAATCCAGAACACAAAAGCCGTACGACAGGAAGCCCGCCCCCATTCGTCGGGGTGACTCAGAATCAGGATACACTTCTGAATAATGAAGCGGCTGAGAAAGCTTATTCCCTTCCGGCCTGTTCTTGACGTTTTCTCTTCTCCGACATCAGACAGCAAGACGAAAATGGACTTGCCTGGAGGGAAAAAGAACGACGAAAATCCTCGGACTGCTGCACTCGTTGCACCGCATACAACAGATTACTCGGAATTTGCTCTAATCTCAGTCATTAACGAAAAAAGTGAAGAGGTTTCGTGCATTTGTTCTTGAGAGTCTCGTTACCGTAGACATCGACTGGCTTCCCCGCATCGAAACGGTGGGGCTTGTTACCATCTACCCTCAGGAAGGGCAAATCAGTAATTAATATCTGTACAGCTTTGCCTGAGCCGAGGTATTTGTCAATTATTGATGGTTTCTTATCTCACTGAATAAGAATTCAGGCAGCCGCGAGGAAAGCGGGGCAAGAGCTCACAGCTGTAGCAAAAGCCAACGTGTGTGCTCTACAACGGTGTAAGCAATGACACAACATACAACTTTATACACTGAATTTCCCCAACACTCGGATATATGAGTTAGTGACGGCGGGATCACTATTTCTACTATGAAGTCGCCTCCAGGGGTGAAGTGGGCATATACTGCACTACAATAAAGGCTCCGAGTCAACAGCCTGGGCAGGGGCCTTTGGGTGAATGCTGCATAACCCTACATTATTGAATTTCCACTTTGTGTCGCGTTTCCTTGACGCAAAGTGAATGTACCCACAACCTACTCATGACGGCACATATTGCCCTGCTACGGCAATCTGAACTTCACTAGACTCCGGTAGCCGCTCACTGAAGGCTCAGTAATGCGCTACGTAATACCGCCTCAGCATCAGCAGATTCGCCGTAGATGATGCACCGCCCTTCACTAAAGGAGTGCGCCCTACCAGCTACTCAACGTGCCCTCACAGCTGGCTGCCTTTCACTCAGAAGGCCCGCCACTATCAGTTGCAGTGGAACTCGTGACTCGGGCAGATTAACAATCGTAACGGCAAAGTACTCAAATGCTGAACTACGTATGAGATACGACTGCTGACCTCGCATAATTTATACTGCCTCTACCCACTAGTCAACGAACTTAGCAGTTACTGCAACAAAACGACACATCAAGCGGCGACTGTGCAGAAACTGAAGCCGAAATTGCGTCTTCCCACCTGCCTCTCTAGCCCTCTGCGCGTTTCGCAATTGGCAGTCAAGCACCAAAAACCTCGACCGTGCATTTGGGTAGCGCTTTGGCTACGACGACTCTCGGGTGGATTACTCCCCCGAGACGATACAGACGATGATGCAGACAGCTAGGGAGAAGCCTACGGCTTCTGAGAGGCGTCTGTTTAATTCAGTGGGGGAATTCATCTGCCCCCCCACTATCACGTATTGTTCATTGCGACAGACCAACTTCGTGCCTCGACGCCCGCCTCACGAACTATGCAAGTATTGGACTAGGAGGGAGCTGGGTTATACAGTAGCCCATATCTTGGGCGCTACTACTTGGGGCATGCTGTGTGATTCACACGGGTCGCCAGGGAGGCAGCAAACATTTTGCAGCACCACGCATTTTCTTGCGGCTTTTGGGGAGAGACGAGTAGAAGCCAGTATTATCCTTCCACAGCTTTGTCGGAAAGACGACTGTCAGTCTCCAATTCCGCCATCAAATCATCCCAAAGACCCCAAGGACAAAGTAGACGCGACGTTGGTCCTGCTGCTGCTTTCTGCTGATGATGCGCCCTTCACTTTTCTCCTCAACGACAACAAACGACTCGAGTGCTGCACTATCCCTCCTCCAACGCGGGCTTCGTGCTTCTGCTCGGCATATCCCCCACCGGAGCGAGAGAATCGTTTTTTGGCGCTTCCCGTTCCCCTCGATACCACCGGCCCATCTCCTGCAGAACCGGCGGTTGCTGATGCTGCTGTTTTGGGGAGTTTGCCGCGCCACTGTAGGAAGGGAAGTCCTCTCGGGTATGCAGGCTCGGGGCTGCGCGACAGCTGCGCATCTGCAGACGCGCAGACCTTCTTCCTCCATCCACCTGAGAGCCTGCGACTCCCAGGTAACATCAAACACGAATTGAGGAAGCTGCGCAAACTGTAGGCCTCCTCGCACTGCTTGAACTCTGCACGGGAAAGAGAAGACTCCAGACGCTCCGCATTGGTGGATCCACCTTCACAGGAACCCGCGGTTTCCTCAATTTGCGCGAGCGAGCCACCCTCAGGTCCTGGGCGAACAGTGAAACTGTCCTGGTCCTTCGGAAGCCTCAACACCCCGCCTTCTGCTGCGCCCCATGAGACGGGTAGGCGCTGCAGCTGCAAGGCGTCTAAATCTTGAATACGGCCAAAAATATCTACCAGGTTCTGCTCCCTTGCACCCTCTCGCCGCCACCCTAATACATCCAGGACAGCATCACGACCGTGGCTGCCGACACTGCTGGCGGGACAAGCAGCAACGCCATTGCCCTCCTCTGCATTTGGTAGTCGCAGGAGAAGGGTCGTAGTTCCAGCATTGTAGGAGCAACATACAGGGGAGTATGTCACGTCTAAATGATCCTCCAACCACCGTAGGTTCTCCACAGGGGAGGGCGGGGCAGGCTCGGGGTATACCTGCATTCCTTCCAAAGCCTGTTTTCAGGCGCCCGCGCATTCAATTGCACATCACTTCGGATGTGGTTCTTGGATTTATGCCGTTGAGCCAAAGCTGATTCATTCGCAGCCCTGCGCGTCGCGCGGAAACCCAGAGAAAATGCGTTGGCCGTTCGCAACTGCCCTCTAAAAAGAGCCTCCGCCGTAAAAAGGTCCCATGAAATTTGCAGAGACAAACTGAGGGCGAAGAGGCAACTGCTGGCGGGGAAGCAAATGACGTTCCCTATTTGGGAGGAGGCGCTTTGAGCGCATCGCGAGGACTGCGACGCAACTCTGCCCCGCACTGAGCGCCTCTTGCATAAGTTTCTGGCATCAAACGAAACCAAAAACTTGAATTTACAAATTCCCTACCGAAACAAAGGGACGGAACGCTCAAAAGCGCAGGCATGAGCCTACTCTGCCGCTACAGTGCGATGCGGGGTGCAACAACGGCAGCCGCGCCCACCAGCCATAGTAGTCACTAAACGCTGCATACCTTGCCCGAGGACCCCTGCGGATATATAGTCATAACCTGTGCTAAGTTTTCATGGTTTTGTTTTACTTTAGTGCCTTGCATCACTTTGTGTTCTTTAAATACTTATTGCGACGATCAACCAATATATAGCTCTTGCACTCCACCAACATCTGGGACGGAAGCGCGCCTGGCTTCTGCTGGCACCCTCCACCTGCTGCCTAAGCACCCGGTGGGGAGTGTCCAGCTCCTTGTGGTATTTGGGGTCCTGCATGCAGTATATTGCGCTTCTTGCGGTTTTTGTTATAGCGCTTCCGTTTTCTTCCACCCCAGGGGATTGTAGCGGCAGCATCCGTGATCCCCACAGTACATCAGCCGCTTTTGGTTTAGCTGCTGACTTGTCTTCACCCACTTTACCGCAAGTGAATAGCAGAGCGCGTGAGTGGCTTCGCGCATATTTTTTTGACTACTCGCCTCATAAAGATGAGTGAGGGACGGATGGAGTCAGAGGAGAGGGAACGCAGGGATGAGGAGGTGGGCGAAAGGGATCGGAGCAGAAAACAAGCCGGAAGCCGCGGCCCTTCGGAAGTTAACTCCGGCGGGCAGGAAGAGGAGCAGCGTGACATCTCTCACGTCAGAAGGGCCAGCGCTAGCAGTGGCCGTGTTGACGAAAGCATGCAGCAGAGCAACAGAGACCGCAACGAAGCCGGGGAAGACTGCAATGGCGGCGAAAGAAGGTTCGGCAGCCAGCGTCGTAGCGGCAGCGGCGGTCGTCCACGCCAGCGAGGAGGTACGCAGCAGTGTCAGCAGGTGCAGCAGCTAATCCTTTGTATTTAGACAGCAGTTTCCACCTCAGCGTACCAGTGCCGCAGTTAACTGCAGCCGTGCCCCCTGCAGCCGCGCCGGCAATGCAGACACTCCGCATTTCAGCCTCAGCATTTCAGCATGAGCCTCAGCATTTCAGCATCAGCATGAGCGTCAGCATTTCAGCATCAGCATGAGCGTCAGCATTTCAGCATCAGCATGAGCCTCAGCATTTCAGCATCAGCATGAGCCTCAGCATTTCAGCATCAGCCTCAGCATTTCAGCATCAGCATGAGCCTCAGCATTTCAGCATCAGCCTCAGCATTTCAGCATCAGCCTCAGCATTTCAGCATCAGCCTCTGCAGCAAGGCATTGAGAGCCTGCCGGCAGCGACTTCTATGCACCTTTATCAAAAGTACGCCTCTCGTGCGGCTTGTCTCGCGGTGTTTTCTTAAGAGTGAGCCGACGTGCCCGACGGTAATGTGTGTGAGCCGACGTGTCTGACGGTAATATGTCCATGATTCCTGCTCTCGGCCCGCTTTTCCCTCTGATTCTCGAATCTTCTAAAATACTGAGATTGTTTTGATGTGCGTGTGTTTGTAACAGGCGACACAGATACCCTCTATATTAGCAACCTCCCACTGCGTTGTGGAGCACTAGAGCTCCGTCGAATATTCGAAGAGGTGGGAGAAGTCAAGGACTGCCGAATTGTCAACAATCCCGTGTCAAGGTATGCAATTAGTAACAGCTGTGTTTTGACGCAATCTATTCGTTGGGGAACATCAAGCGCCGCAGTTCTGTTTGTCAAGTGAAGGGAATTTTGCTTTTGCGAGTGCGGCAGGGAGTCTCGCGGCTTCGCATTCTTATCGTTCGTGGATCCGAGCCATGCTGCAGTTGCAATAGATCGTTTCGACAACAAGATGATCTTTGGTGACGGTGCCAGGCCAGTTAGGGTGGAGCGGGCCAAGCGTAACAAGCCCCACAACCCGACGCCAGGCTTTTACAAGGGGCCGCCGGGTATGTTAGGATACAGATTTTGAGTGCATTGATGCGGTGCCTGCAACGGGAGAGTACATCTCATGGGTCCAGCTGAGACTGCCTTGCTGTGCTTGTGTAGGTGCCAGCATAAAGTATGACAAGTCGGGACGACTGAAACCCGGATTCTTGCCATATTACGCTGTTGCACCTGGTGCATCTCGTGAGTTCATACCGCCCAGCCCCTTCGGAATGGATTACGGCTCTGGCTCACGGAGTCATTCCGGCGGCCGCTGGGAAGAACGTGACTGGGGCGCGAGAGGTGGCTACGATCCTTCACGCTATTATGATCGTATGGACTATTCCGCTCACGCGAGACCGCCAGTGGATTTCAGAAATGCGAATCCGGGCGAGTTTTCGTATGACATGCGGATGGACAGGGGGTACGATGTCAGAGCGAGTCGAGGAGGATATGATGCCCGTGGTGCTCCGCCGTATGATCGTGGAGCTCCTGTTTATGATGCTCGTGGTTACGACAGAACGGGCTATGATGCCAAGTGGCAGCAGTATGAAGATCCCAGGGGAGACGGAAGGTAAGCACAATTTCTAGAGATTCGGGCGTATAAGCTAGTTACCGCCGGTGCTGATGTGCTGTACGTCATCTGCGTTGTGTTTGTCAGTAGGTATGTTGGTTATTGCGACTACTATGGAGGGAACAGTGGAACTGGAACCACATATGACGTCAATCCCCGTGTAGACAGCCGCGAAGTCAAAGCCGTCGGAAGGGAACGGTCACGATCGTGAGTCGCCATGACGAGATATGTAGTTGTGTTGAGAATGCGACTGAGCAATCAATCCAGGCGAATAGGAGTCCTGTATGTTTTGACGGTGACCTGCATTTGTCCGTTGATGGCTCAGGAGAGGGCGTCGTGAACGTCGTAGGTCTGCTTCACCGGAAGGTCGTCATCATCGCGCAGGTCGCAGATGATTTAGCACTCAGTGGCGCGTGTCAGATTTTGCAATGCAGCGCGGGTTTACCGAGAAGGTACCTCCGAATGGCAAGATGTAGCATTGCTTGTCTTGCGCTGTATTTTGGGGAGCAAGGAAGTGGCAATCTGAGCCACTCAGACGTTTTCAAGTTCCGTGCATTAGCGGTGCTACGTTTAAAGTAGATTTTGCTTCGTGACGGTGCATAGAATTTACTCAAGCTTAGTCGAGGAATGTCTAGGCATTGGATAGTACTATGCAAACTCAACTGACAGGGTTTAGATAATATGCTAAGCTTTTTGCTTCGTGACTGCAGTGAAAACAACAGTGAACTTAATATTTTGCTTGTCCGAGTTCAACCGGCATTCACACAGAATGCTTATCGACACCTCAGTGCACCGTTGGATCAACGGAGGAGGTATGATCCCTCAGAACCAGCCCAGTCTGTGAAGTAGAATGTAGTGATGTTCGGCAGAACGAATATTCAGGGCAACNTACGAGAAGCGTTCATCCATCGGGGTCTTTGCTCCCACAAGCTGTTAAGCCAAGGGCATTAGGAACAACTAGGCTGAGTAGAGTTGAGTTCTGCACTTACCGGTGTACCATCTCTAGCAGAGAGTGTATTATTGCCTTAATTGTGGGAACAACGTTTTCAGCTGCTCTCATCACGTAGTGGTAGCCGTTCCTGCTCAGGTCGGATGCTAGGTCCTTTGCCTGCGAGGAGGCGCGTTTCTCGATTGTTTTTTGTTGCAATGTGAAAAACACCTTACTTTGCTTAGCAGCATTTCCGCCTGATACTTCAACTTGTCCAGCGAGTAGCCGGCTGCTTGAAGCTGTGTTGAGGTTGGTAGGGAGTGGTTTGGGCAGGCAATTGATGTTGACTGAGCTTACGTTGCGGCCTATCACGTAGACGAGCGCTGCGGCTTCAGCAAGCATTATAGACAAGGATATGGCGAAGAACATCGGGGCAGATTCGGCGCAGATCCCAACACCCATGCTCGCGAATCCTCGGGCAGACCTGTTTGGCAGGATGAGCAAGGGAATAACAAGAAAGCCTTGAGCTGTCCCCTTACCAGAAGAGGAGGAGTGCTGGGCAGGCGACGAGTGCAACAGATGCTGCGGCGGATATTGGGCCCTGGAGGAAGATACGTAAAGCAAGTTGCTTGAATTCGATGATATTATTTTGTTACTTCAGACATGAGTTCCCGGATTGACGTCTCCGCCTTGTATACTCTGAATCCGGCCTGAACGACAATCACAATTACGTAAAAAAATTCGGACCGGGAGGACTAATGTTCCTTCTTACTTGCATGGCTCTCGGATTCACGCGGGTTGCGAAGTGAGTTGCTGCGGCCAGTGAACCACACAGAATTGCGTTCACGATGTGCCACTCTGACTGGGACGGCTTTATAACCATGTTGGACTGGTCAGAGTTCGAATTTTGCTCACCAGGTCCATGTCGCACAAGCTGTTGGCAAACAGGAGGCTTGTGGCAAGGCTTACTGCTGCAACCACAGTGCAGGCAGAAGAGGCCTTGTCAAAACTCCTGGTGAAAGTCTCCTCTTGGCCGTACATTTTCTCGTTGTGATGAAAATGAAAAAACACGAGGGTACTGGGCCTAGAACTATAGTGGATGAGAAACTGTTGATGTGAGTCTTTGAACGGTTTCTGGTCTGTATGATGATGTTCGCTACATCGCAGTCGACCTTCCGATGTCCATACACCTGAAGCGACCCGTTGATTGCAAAAAAAACTTGGCTATTTTCTGAATGCAGGCAGTTTGCACTCAGAGTGGTCTACACTGAAAAGTTTCCGAAAGGGCAAATAAACAACTCATAAACATCTCTGAAAATGTACGCCCAAGAAGAAGCTTTCAAGAAAAGCGCGGACTTCGCGCTTTCTACAAGTGCTGTACTCAGCGGAATATGCCTTGCATCAGGTACAAACCTAATTTCCATTCGTACTTAGCATCTGCACTAATATTTTTCTGCAGGGGTCGTACTTTCCAACACTGTTTGCGGGCCCGAACTGGTAAGCGCATCAGCATTACTGTTTGCTAGCCTTACACCCCTTTATCGTACCGCGTTGACAGTCTGAATGGAACATTGTTAATGGTGTCCTGTGCGGAGCACTAGCTGCTTCCATTCACTTCGCTGTGAAGTCCTGCCCAAAGTGTCTACAGGTTAGTGCATTTGTGACAGACATCTTGCGTGGCAGGAGGAAAACGATATTTGTTGCAGAATGCGTTTCGTCTTTTCAAATGCCAAATATCCCCACGGGAACTGATAAATGAGGTAAGAAATTTGCATAAGCTCCTTTCATTCAAATGGAATGAAATTTCCTTATCGCGCACAGGGAAAGCTTTGCGCAGCAGTATCCACTGGCATTGTTGCAATACCCGCGATCCTGGCTTTCTGGTCAATCAGTGGACTCTTTAACATGACCATCGGCACCTGCGCCGAGTCCGCTCCCCTGTTTTACTGCGTAACTCTAGCCGCAATGCTGGCTCAGATTGCTGCAATAGCCAATGTAGCTAAAATCAACGTAAGGATATCTTACCGTGTGAACACGCACTGGAAAATACACTCACCACCATATGCACAGTTGGAGGCAGCTGGATACAACGTTCGCAACGTTGAATGCGCAGTTCATGAATGTGCCTCGAAGGTAAGGAATTTCATACTTCTATGGGAGCTCAATAGCGAACAAACTGGCGTCTGTAGTCCAAGGAGGTAGCCGTCGACTTCAGCCGGAATGCCAAAGAAATGGCCATCCACGCTTCCGATCGGGCGATCCCCCTTCTTCATGCCACAGTGGAGAAAGGAAAACAGTATGTTGGCACATGAACTGCTCATGGATTTGTTTTGTTTCTCAACGCGTGTATCAGCATGTTCGAGTCGAGGCCAAAATACATGACCGTGGAATGTAAGCTGCCTTGAACTTTTGCTGGTTGAACTATCCAGCTACAAAATGCAACTTCAGACTGGACTGGACCCGAGGGTCGTTCGCTGCTCCGTTATTGAACGTGAAATGCGTTCGGACCGCCAGTGAACGAGGCTGGTTTGCAGTTGTGTTGACACAGGGGACAAATCACGATTGTTCCCACCGCAGATGCCGGTACAAACTGTCGAGTCCAGTCTTTTTCAAATTGGCAAAGTGTTTCTTTTGCTTTGGAGTTTGTTACTAGCTCTAGAAATGCCTTAGTACTCGGTACAGCAGCAGTCATCAGGTTGGCCGGTAGATGTCGGTAGCGTTGTAGTAAACAGAAACGCGCAAAAAAGACGGATCATGAACCGAAAAAATAAACATTATTTTATATTTGAAGGAAAAATGATTCGTTCATTATTCCCCGACCGTAACGTAGACTCGTTGCCGTGAATCTGCACACCTTCCTGGTCGGCGACCCTCCTGGATGCACGCATCGAGGAGATGAACGAGAACTCCGCCACATTGGCGATTAGGACCAACGAACGACTAATAAATCAAAAATCCAAAGTAAACGAAGACAGGAAGGAAAAAAATACCTTGGTTACTTGAACATTGGCGAAGTGACCCCGTAGTCGCAAAAAGCAAGTATTGGAATTCAAGCAGTATGTTGGGTCAACAAGGCACCTATTAAAGCTTTCACTATCCAACCTACCTGCTTATCTTTGTTTGCGTGTACCGCTGGAAACCTTTGTTTGGCATGGCTTAGCTCAAGCGATGAAAAACTGTCCCATAAAGCGGTCCGACTTGGAAAAAAGAACAACTTCTTCCTTCTTGCCATAAGGCTATCTACCCAACGTGCATTATCAAGTCAAAACCCTTCTAGGGAACCGCAAGAAGTACGCCAGTACCAAACTGCGTCAGGCGCAGTTGCGCGTATTTTGGGTGAAATCGCTGCTGAGACAGTTTCAATATAGCGCAGCATACACTTCTGCTCTCCTACCAACTAGAAAAAAGAGACATCCAAGTAGAAAATAGTTATCCCCTGTTGCTTCCCAACATTGTGGCAAGGCTCGGCAACCTGAATAAAACAACGCAGTGGAATTGCTGGCTCTAATTGTACCGGACGGTGTAAAATCATTCTGTTAACCATGAACTCCAAATCACTCACATCTTTCACCCGCACATCTACTTCTGACTGCTCAGTTGAGCCACCTGCATTTCACACTATATCACTGCAACTGTTCTAGATGTAATTTGGGTGGAAAGAGCCACATTCGGCACCGAAGTGTCCTCCGAAAATCGAGCAAATAATCTGTGTTATGCACAGGAGAAAGCGACCAAGATGGATAGCGAATCTCAGAAGGACAGACCTAAAGATGGAAACGGGTACAGTTATTATCCCTTCTTCATGTTGCAGCTGAAGGGAACAACGACTCAGCCTTCCAACCTTTTCTCATCTCTCCTTGACTGCTTATAGGAACAACGGCTTTACTCCTTGCTTGAGGCTGTATGAAGCCGCTGTAGACAGAATGCTATATCGGGAAAGGAGCAGGTGCATTCTCCAACAGCTTCAGATTCCCCCGACGAAAACTGAAAAAGTATGCTGCGTTGGATTTGGCGTCGCCATGCAGTTCGATACGCAACCTGCATTGATGGCGTATGGAGATAGCTATTGGGCATATGCGGTGGATATGCTTCCTTACAGATGATTCGGAGGGCTGAAATCAACCCACGCTCCGTCTACGATCGTGTAGGCATTTCTTTTTGTACTGATTCAAGTATTGTATACGGAACTTACAATGGCCTAGATATGCTTGTATGGGAGCAGTTGCTAAGTCACTGCCGCTGAGCGTCCGTACCAAGTTGGTCTGTTGGGTTGTTTTGCGCCAGCAGTTTGCCCAATGCCAAACAAAGATCGAGAAGAGCCAACAAGAGCAGCAAGAGGTGCGGCAGAAAGACTAACGCTATAGTTCAGGATGACCGAGCGTCTCAGCACGCTTTTGTTTACCGCCTTTCCCTTGAAGCAACGGATGGCGTTTTTCAGAGGCTCCTCGAGGAACTCAAGTCCTGCACATTCCATCCCACAATTTTGACGCGTTCGAGATACCTTGCTGAATGTTGGAACCGAAGAAAGCACAAGGAAAGCAAGAAATCAGAGCAACAAAACAACAAAGACTCAGAAAAAGGTGCGAGCACCTCGGTGACGTACTGTTCCTGCTTGTGTAGCAGCCTGGGAGGGCATCGTTTCCGTAATCCTCAGAGCAGCACGGAGGCGAACAACCACAAATTCTTCAAGCAAATGGAAAATTCCGCGCCTTAGCTTATTTTAGTGAAACGCAACATGACCAGCGTTTCCTTTTTCTTGCTTAACAGAGTCTGCCGAAGAAGGAAAAGGCCGTAAATGTCAAGTCAACAACTCCCAGCGCGTGTATCCTTGCTTTCAGAAGCGGTGAGGAGATACCTGAGTCGAAATACCCCCAAAACGTTGAATGCAGAGCCATTGTATCAGCAGTACGAAACCAAACAAACGTTGAATGTCATGGGTTTCCTATGTGCTGTTACGTTTCATGAAAGGAGTCGCGTTGAGCTGTGCGGCTATTCTTCCATCCTTTCAATGAATAGAGAGACAGCTACACGATTCAATGAGACCCACTTTTTCAGTCTAGATGAAACGTTGTGAAAGCGGGTTACGATGATCGCTTTTAAAGTGAAGTCAGACAGCTGGAGGTCTCCTAAACCTCCACGGCACTTTCGCTGTAGATAATCTTGGTTGGTTGTCGTTCTTCAGACTCGAGTTTTACATTTTGTCTCGGGCACTCCGACGCCAGTTGTTGCAGGAGAAAAGAGTGCGTTCTCTTGTAGAAGCTCTGCTCCGTTGGTTGTCGAAATGGATAGCAGGACTGAAGGGGCCTTATTGTTCAGTGCAACACTTACTGGATGTGTTGCGAGGGGGCCGCTGCGGTACAGAATCTGGAGGAGTCATTCGATCTTCAGTTGTGCCGCCGGTCTGAAATTATTGCCCTCAAGAAGCCCAGGGTGGGCGCAGTTTCGGCTGAAGCGCTGACACTGACAATATGCCAGGGAATGTAGAAACGATAAACAGCTCGCTGTCACCAAGCTTGAGGATGTTACGGGCTGGGAGGGGGTCTTGGGATGCTTGAGGTTCGCGTTGTTTACCGGCTCGTAAGGAGACATTCTACGCCTTTGTTCAATTTCCGTCCGGTGGGTGTCCTGCTTCTCTCGCTGTTTGTTTTAGAGGACTGAAGTTGCAGTGCGCAAGACTCGTCGGGATGAGGCGATCTCCACTTGGGCCTTCAAGCCAACTTTGTGCGAAGTCTGTCGCCTTCTTCCTTTGTGCCGCCTTTCTCTCCAACTCCCCTCGCTTCTTGTATAAAGAGGCGTTCTACACCTGTGTTGAATCGCTGTCCAATGGGTGTTCTTCTCTTTCTATATTTGTTTTAGAGGTTCACAGTACAACGCCTTCCTACAACGGAAGCTGCACCGATATTTGCGGGAGAGCACTATAGCGTGTAGTGGTTACATTCTAGGGTCTGACGCTTGCTGCCTAGGGTCAGGTTTAACAGTTAGGTGTTAACGATGGATTTGACTCTGCGTATGTCTTAGAAATCCAGGAGAATCGTCAGAGCAATCGAGCGGAGGCGCGCTGCAGCCCTAAGTGCTGAGGTGTGAGCAGTTGGCCCCAGTTGGAAATCAGATAAAAAATGAGGTTCCTCACCAACCCCTTCAGCAGAACAAACAGCCCCTAGACGGTTGTTCTTAGATAAACACCACAGCAGGAACCCCAGTTGATGTTTTGTATTCTGCATATCACGGCGCAGGCAAAGTGAAAAAGCGACAGAAATGAAGAAAGGAGTCGCGGCAGAGGAGAAGGCAGGCACCAACAAACTGCCAGGGAGAGCCGCCACTGCTCAAGAAAGCAAATCACTGAGACGAGAGAACAACACAGACAAAGTCNCATCACATCACATCACACCAAAGCAAGCCACGTCGTATATGGGGTATGGGACAGCAAGTGAAAGAGAGAAGGTTACCGTTGCTAAGGCTTATAGGACTCTGCTGAAACGTGTTTACGGTTTAGAGTCTGAAGTTTAAACAAAGGCATCCAGCAGTGCAGCGCTAACGAAAAAAAGTGGGGGAGGTTGCACTTCGTGTGAAACGGTATTCGGTTTCCGTTATCTGATGGTTTGCTCAATGAAATTGTTTGTTTCCGCAGGGTGACAAGGAGAGAGAAAGCGTGAAGTGTAAGAAGGGCAAATCCTATCTTTCCAACCTGTCGGTGAGGAGTGTTTCCGCTATCTTAAGATGGGAACACAGGCACCGCAGCTGTTATCTTTTTAAAATGTTATTTAGCAATGACGTGCAGCTTGAGCAGCAGTCAAAACAGTACGAGAGACGCTGTTTCTGTTGCTCTTTTTGGTGTTGTTGTTGCCGTTGTTGTTGCTGATGCTGGCTTGCTATCTGGGGTGGTAAGAACTACCTAGAAGAACTGGAGAAGAAAAGAAATGACAAAGAAGCGCTGCGGCTCGAGAGACGAAAGCAAATGTAAACAAATAAAACGACCCACGAAACAACTAGTGAAACAACCAATAGAACAGCAAGTGAAACACAACCAACTGGAACAGCTAAGGAAACAAATTAAGCAAACACTATAACACATCCAAACAAAGAATGAAACAACTAATACAACAAGAAATGAAACAACAAGTAAAACACTCTATAAAACAACACATGAATACAACGAATGTGACGCTGGCTGTGCACAGAGCAGAAGAAGAAATGCGAGAATGTTCGTTTAAACCTCAACTGCACAAACAACTCAAAAGGGGTCCGTCTGCTTTCACTTCTCCACAAACAACACAAATCCCTGCACCAGAAAAAAACCGTAAAGGATACAGAGGCTTCTGTTCGGCTCTTATGCGCCAGTTATGCGTATATCTAGATATTGTTGCCAATATATATATATATATATATATATATATATATATATATATATATATATATATATATATATATACATTTTATTTTTGTTTCTTCGTTTTATTGTGCAACACCAAAAGATCAAAAACATAAAAATTAATTACCCAAAGGCTCACTGAGGGTCTCGTGAGTATGTTTCGGGTTTAGGGTTTGTGTTTATGTTTTTGTTTGTTTGTTTATCCTCTTGTTTGTTTGTTTATTAACTTGTTCGTTTGTTGTTTATTGTTCACATTTCGGTTTGTTGTTTGCTTAGGAACACAATCGTTAGTTCGTCTGATTGGTGTGTTTGTTTGCCTATCCGCTTCTTTGTTTGTTTGTTTATTCACTTGTTGTAAATTAAATACAAATCAATAAACAATAAATCAATAAAGTAATACACATGACGAAAAAAATAACGGAGAAGACGAACAAGGTTTTCATTGTATGTCTGTTGCTTAATGCTTTCTGCGTTTGTTTGTTTATCTTTTCAGTTCGCTTTTTCTTCATTTGTTTACCAATTTGTTAATTTATTAATTTGTTTATTTATATAATTTGTAATTTATGTATTTAATATTTGTTTGATATGTTAATCTGCTGCTTATTACTTTATTTATTTATTGTTGGTTGATTTGTCTTTAATTCATACAATAATTTATCGGTTTATTGTGTATTTATTATTTTTATTGGTTTTTTGTGTATTAATTTATTTATAAATGATGTTTTTATTTCTTTTTTTTATTTATTTTGTTTGAGGCGTTTGGCTTTCTGCAGCATCAACGTCGGATTGCTTCAGTTGGCGTAGTCTACCCGGCAGTGACAGGTGCCTCCTTTTTTTTTTGTTTTTGTTTTTGTTTTTTGTTTTTGTTTTTTGTTTTTATCTGTTTTTAATATGTTTCTGTTTATTATTTTTGTTTATTAAACAGAGTATTCCTCTGGTATTCTGATGCACCTTTGGTGTATCCCGTCAGTGCTTTCACTTCATTGTTCTTCTTATTCTTCTTACTGTTCATGTTTTTC